TACAGGTTATTCTTCCCACCACTTTGCTTCTGGCCCACAGAGATAAGCAGAATCAACCTACAGTAAGTCTCAAAATGTGTAAAGTGCGTAAAAGTGATTTATCGTGCTCGTTTCTGTTTGTTTAGGCCTTTGAGTTAGCAACGGGAGACTATCTGTTCGAGCCTCATTCTGGGGAAGATTACTCACGGGATGAAGGTGTGTTTGTCTAAGTCTTTCCTTCTTAAAGTGGGATGTGAAATACAATGGGTGCTTCTTCAGAACGAGCCTTCTCTTGTGAGTTAGCAGTGCGAAGGCAAAAAGATTATTTGCACAAATCAGTGGTGTTAGGGGACAGCTGTGCTCAAGCCTCTGCGGTGAACCACCATGCAATAAAGTCCATGTTCTTATTCTGATGTTTTCCATTCCTCTTACCACTGGATTCTCTATCTGCTCAAACAGCTCTCAAATGGCCCTCAGCTTTTTGTCCCCTTTGCCCCCTGACTTTGTCCTTGCTTGGTGTAATCTGATTTCAAGTGGATCTCAAAGTAATTTTTAAGAGAGATATGGTCTTTGTACTTATATCCTGGAGGAGGAAACTGGGGCATAGAGATGTCTTGTGTGGATGTGTCTCACTGTCTTTTCTTTTGAAAAAATGCAGATCACATTGCATTGATCATAGAACTTCTGGGGAAAATACCTCGCAAGCTCATTTTGGCAGGAAAATATTCCAAGGAGTTTTTCACCAAAAAAGGTAAAAGGAAGCCAAGCACATGTCACTTATCCCCTCATCCCCTAACCCAAAAACACAAGAGGGCCTTGCTGGAAATACCAGTTAACAAGAGATGCTCGAAAAGATGCCTCAAAGTCTTACTTTTGTTTTATAAAAGGCTTTCTCAGTAAAACTGCAGCTAAATAGAAGGTGTTCATGTCTAACTGCTAACTATCCTACGTCCTAGTACTTGACATCTTGGTGCAGATCAAATGCAGCAGGTAGAAAAACAATACTGTAGCTGTTTCTTCAGACTTGATTTGACTTTATTTAGCTGATATTTGTCAACTAGAGGTGTTGACTCACCTTTGAAGTCTTTTGTAGACAACTTTGTTCCATTTCTAGCGTGCCAGTCACCTAAATAGTGCCTTGCATCCTGAGCCATGTTGTCAGGACGCATTATACCATTATCATAAACCCTAAGTGCCCCAGAAATGTATTGAGTCTCAAGAAAAAGTTTCTGACCTACTTTGATACTTTTCTTTTAATAAAACAAACCTTTTTTTGTTAGTAGTGTATCGCTTCCTCAGACGCTGCTGCATGTATTGCATGTATTCCAAAGTCAACAGCACAGTGTTTATCTGTCATGTCAACTGGTATAATTGGTGATTTAATGAAGTTAAACAGTATTTGCTGATATTGGATCAGAAATAGCAGAAGGAAAAAAGAAGCCTTCAAGGAAGTACATTTCTAGAACAGTTTTCAAAAGCAGATAGAAAAGGAGTTTTAGTATAACTTATTCCTTCCTCCAGCATGCCCTACCATTTTATAGCTGCTATGCCCAATGCCTCAGAACAGTTTCTAAATTCAGTCTGCCTTGTGTAGCTGTTCAGTCTATTTTATTCAGCTCCCATGACTTGCACTTAACCTGTCTGTTTTGGTTTTCAGGTGATCTGAAGCACATCACCAAGCTGAAGCCCTGGGGCCTTTTTGAAGTGTTGGTGGAAAAATACGAGTGGTCCCAAGATGAGGCAGCTGCATTCACAGACTTCTTATTACCTATGTTGGAGCTGATCCCAGAGAAACGAGCTACAGCAGCAGAGTGTCTCAGGCACCCCTGGCTTAACTCATAGAGGCTTGAACCCAATGCCACGGCACTACTCTCTGGTTTACAACATAGCGTACATGCACCCAGCTGCCCCTTCCCAGATCCATTTTTTTTCCTTGTTCATTTTCAGTGTGAAGTTCTTCCTTCGAGGCTTCCAAGATTTTAGATAAATCTAACCTGTTCTGCTGAGTTTGCTTGTGTGACTCAATGGGGACTCTCCTCAGCCAGTGGGCATCATCTGTGTTTTGCCTTGATTGGGCTTCGCCAAAGACTAATTGACTAGAATATGAAGTTTTTCCTGAGTCTCCTCACTGTTATGCACCGTGTGTTACAGATGTGAGCTCACCTGTGCTCAGGTATGCTCCCTTAGCTAAATTTCGACTCTCATTTCTTCATGAGGGGGATGTGAAGATCCGAACACCTCCTTATCTCACCGACTCAGAAGTCGGTTTCCCACTGTTGATCCAGTAGCAAGCAATGGGGTGAGAAGTACCAGATTGGCACCGAGGTGATGTTAGTTCCTTGTAGAGCAAAGACCTCCAAATCCTCCATCATTTGCTAGGTGTCTACTGTATTCTTTGCTTTCCAGTCACATAACTTTTCTTTAGTTCTAGCTGCTTGAATCTTTTGAAAAGAGCTATTTAAACCTAGGTTTTAGTATCCTTTATTTCTTCCTCCAAAGTGCCCTGCCCCTTTTTCCTTCCCCATGCCCAGATAGTCAGAATAGTTTCTGAAGTTGGTGACGTTTTCCACTCTAATGCCTGTGACTAAAAGGTGACAAGTAAAATAAGCAAAAGCTGGAACTGACTCAACGCACAACCTTCAGCGTACAGATGGGTGCGCCCTTTGGCTGCAGAGGGGTAGCCTTGTTGCAGGCAACTCTTCTAACATTTTAGTGAGCTGTAAGTTTTTTTTTTGATTATTTTTATCCCTTACTGGCACTTTTTTGCCTTGCTTGAGGCAGTTGCTGTATCTGAGAAATTGGCTTTCACTGATGCAGTCTACTCTGGCTCTTAATTTTTGACCATTCGCTTTCTCCCAGGAAAAGGGTGGCAACGTCTGTATCACCGCCATGCTGTAGCCCTTGACTTTCCAAATCAACACTTGAAGGCCCAGTGTGAAGATACATTTTCCTTTAACTTGCTTGAGGTGCTGGCCTTCAGAAATAACTTCCCAGGATGGGACTGCCTTTTATTTTCTAGGCCATTAGCACAAGGAGAGCTAGCAGAAGTGGAAGAGAACTCACTTTTCCGTGTAGATACTGAATTAGAAGCAGGTTTTAGAGTTACCCCAAGTAAAAATGTTCCGTGGGGTTTCTATATAAACTTATCAGAGGGGGTTGAATATAATGAGTAAATTGGTTAATTTTAATTCAGAGTTAAATCACTGTGGCATTTGATAGTTTTATGATGGCTTCTTCTAGACTTGCCCGTGCTATTACAAATTCAGTGCATCCTCCTCTAAAGCAAGATTTGGCAGCGTTGAGGCTTCAGAGGCACTTCCTTACCCTGGACCAAACAGGCCTTTGGATTCGTGGTGGCTCTCAGAGCGTAGAAGCTGCTGCAGGAGCGTGCTGGAGGCCACGCAGATGCTATCCGAGACGATGACATTGCCAAAGCTGCCGAGACCACTGTTACGTGTCACTTCTGTATGTGTGTTTGGAACTCCTGGTTTGTAAGGATCGTTCATTCATAAACCTTGGTGTCATTTAATCCACTTGAACAGAGTTTCTCTGGTCCAGTGCCTGATTGGGCTTATTAATGCAAATCATGCTGCATGTTCTTTTAGGGGTAGACCAGGTTCTCTATGCATATAATCTAAAATTAAAGGAAGGTAACGTACCAAAAGAGTGCTAAACTGCTGATTTGACTTTTTATTTTTCCCTTTCATCTGGAGTTTTCCAGTTGTGTGTCACTTCCCTATCTGTTCCAGAAGGACTTGCAGACAGGACTGGGTTCCAAAATACCTACTGTCTACATACTGTGAAGATACATTGGCAGGGCAAACAATTTCTGTTGTCTTGAAAGCTCACCTGGTCCTGTGTACTCAAGACTGGCCGATTAAAGAACTTTTCCTAGAAGGGGTCTGCCTGCTTCGACTCTGAGAGCTAATTCCTGTCCTTCCCTTCCCTCTGCCACCCTGGGCTGGAGGAGGACGTGTTTTCCCGTGGCAGCCGAGGCCAGAGCCAGCTTGTGAGTTGAAGACCCACAGAAGCGACCGTCAGGATTCGGTCTTGTACCGTGTGCTCGTTCACTTGGGGTTTGTTAAACTTCCAAATTGCCGCAAAGTGCTCACACTAAAGGATTTGTATTTGCTGTGTCAGTCTAAAACCTGAAGGAAAATACATTTTTATTCTTTCTACTTGGGTGCTTTGTCTTTTTTTCCTTGTGAAAGCCGTACAATAAACAGATTATTTAATAACTGAGCCCTATTCCTCATATGTTCCCTCTAAGTTTGTTCTTTCTGAGCTAGTGGCCCATTGACTGAATTTTCTTGGCTAGTGAGCACTTAGTTTTGATTTCCAGAATGAGACGCGGGGAGATGGTGTAGGTGAAGATGAACTTGCTGGTGGTGCGATCTGTTTTAAAAGGGGGAGAAGAGTAGTCAAATAGCAGGACCACTCCGTTCAAATTTCTCCATTCTAAAATATGTTTTTCTCAAAGGCTGTTTCTCTGCTGTCTTCCCTAGCTACGAGTCTTAACCTTTCCAAACACTTTTTTTAGAGGGAAGCATAAAACTGGAAGGTGCTTGTTAGAACTGCATTCAGTTGACTGCTGCAGGAAGCAACGAATTACAGCAAATAGAAATGAAAATCATCCTACAGACTCACTTTGGGTTCTGAGCAGGTAAGAGCTGGACAGGGCACAGAAGTGGGCTGGGCCGAAGGCTGCCGCAGCGGTGGGTGAGATGGGAAATGATGGCTAAAATGGGAATAGTGGGGTGGTGCGGGCGTTGATGCTGACTGGCACCATCTGCTGCAGTTCACGGGTACTGTTGCAGCCCAGCAAATGGTTTTATTTGGTTGGTTGGGTTTTTTTGTTTTTCCTCAGAAAAGCGCCCTTTTTAAAAAGTTGTGTTGGGTTATTGTTGCCCAGAGTGGGAAACGCTTTCCTAGGAATTGGCTGTGTCGTATTTTTCAAGAACAAGGGCAAGCTGGGACAAGGCAGAGGGTTTCCCCTGCCCCAAGGAGACCAACACAAAATCTAAAACAGTTTTTTTTTATTATTATTATTAAGAAGTAATTTCCTTGAAAGAAGGAATACAAACCCCCAGAAGCAGCAAATTGCCATCTGTTCCCTTTTCCCCAGGTTTGCTGATGGACTCAAAAAAAAAAAAAAAAAAAAAAAAAAAACCCACAAAAAAAAAACCAAACCACCTGTGTCCAATTTGGGCTCTTCCTACCAAATAAACTCCACGAGAGCTGAGCTGATAGTGGCCCCGTAGGTGAAAAGAACAACTAGAAAATCCACAGAAGTTAGTAAGTTTAAAACTCCTGGAAAAGTCTTTTTAAAGAAAAGGTCTGATGGAAGAAGAGCTCGAGGTGTCCCTGGGAACAGAAAGAATAGGTCAGCTGTAGCCACATAGAGTGTGACTTCAAATTGTAAGCTTTTTTTTTTTTTTTTGTCACTTGGCAAGGATTTATGTTTGCCTGGTTTCAGGCGGCAAAGCAAAGCCTATCTCCCCTTTAACCACAACTCAACCCGATGTGCTTTTAGCCCCAAACCTACACAGTTGTCAGTCCCTCAGTAACCAAAATACAGCAGCAACGTTCTGCGCGCTGGGAGAGAAAACATTCAAAGTCACTCCGAGCGTCACTTACGTGGTGATCAGCTCTGTCACTCATTTTCCTCTTCTGTAAAACAAAAGATAATTAGGGTGTTAACGGGGTATGGGACTAACACCAGCATTAGTGTTGACCACGCCAGCTCTCCTGCTTCTCCCGCTGGAGGAACCTGCCCCCCTCCCCACTAGCAGCAAACAGCCGAGCTGTGGAAATGCTCCGCACCGGGGCGGGGCTGGAACTCAGCCCCAGGCGCTTTTACTTTTACCTTCCACTTTAAAATCAGACGGGAGGAGGTGGTCCTGCCGATTCCCCAGCACGAAGGCCAGGAAGGAGAGGATGAGCGCGTCGAGGATGCCGATGATGCAGAGGATGTAGGCCCAGCGCACGGTGCAGGCGCCCAGGGTGTATTTATCGGTCTTGTCCCCGCACATGCGCTTCACCTCGCTCGAGTCCCAGCCGTCGGGGTAGATCAGGCACCCGATCATCAGCCCGGTAGCTGCGGGGAGAGGGAGACGTCACGGCGGCTGCCAGCCACCTCCTGAGCCCGTGCTGCACGGGGAGGGGGTCGGTGGAGGAGCACAGCGTGCCTGCATCCAGCTACCAACACGATACTACTGCCCTAAACTACTCCGGACCGGCTAACTAGGCTTAAAGGTGCCCCCGTGGTTGCCCATCCCGCGTGGGTTCTGCTCCGCCGGTGCTGCTGCAGCCGGGGAGGGGGAGCAGGATACGGGCGCGCTGCTCCCCAGCGAGGACCTGCTGCAGCAGCATCTCCCATCGCTGCGTTGCCCAGGCAACATCTCTCCTGCCTCCGCACGCATCCCTGGCCGCGTCGCCCTAAAGAAATATTTTCTCCGAAACGAAACCAGGATGGATCAAGTCTGCGCGAGGCAAAGGAACCTTGTTGTTGCCTCGTGCGGAGCTGGATTTCGGCTTATGGCTTGCTAAGGCAGAGCTGCTGTCTGCGGGAGCTTTGCGAGCAGATTAATTCTGCTTGTTCAGCTGCGGGGGTTCCAGCCCGGCCGCGAGCCACCGGCTCCTCCTGCGGCTGCTCTGGTCGCCCGGCCCCGGCTGCAGCCCACCCGCGGGGCCCTCGGCACCTCGCCCTTGCAGCTTTGCCATGGGAGTTGCAACAAAAACCTGGCCCGAGCTGCTGCAGGGCCGTCTTCTGCCAAGCGGCTCGTGTCCCAAAAGCTCAGAAGTACCTCTTTTTTTTTTTTTTTTTTTTTTTTTTTTTTTTTTTCCCCCTCTCTTTCTTTCCCCACAGGCTCAGAGAAATTGTTGTTTTATTTGCTGGACGCAAGTGACTGGGTTCGGCAGGGAGAAGAGCCAAGTTCATCTGCAAGGCTTTGGGATGTGATTAACAGAGACTCTTCGCATCCTCCGCTGTTACCCCGGTGCAGAGCATGGAAGCAACCAGTCCTTTATATCTTTTTGTGCAGGTGCGAGGACACCCTGGGCTCCTCATGCCAGAAAAAAACCCTGCTCTGGATGAGCGGCCGTTTGTCCCTGCCCTTCGTGGACACCCGCAGCCTCCTGCGGCAGCGAGATGCTCCCTGCCCTGTACCTGTGCCTTTTCTCTGTTGTTGGGTGCTTGGTAAACTAGAAAACACATTTGCAGTGGTTCCCTCACCCTTTGCCGATGTTTTTTTCCCTTGGTTTGGGAACAGGAGAGTGGCGAGGCCAGCAGGCAGCTTTCTAGGTCTGCAGAGAGTATTTCTCTTCATTGAGAAGCAGCTGGCTTCTCCTGTATTTAATTACTCTTCCCTGTAGCTAACAGAGAGGAGGGGCACAGAGAAATGGGGGAAGCTGGAAAGAAATCGATGCTCCTGTGAAAACACACCCTGGCCACAGAGCAAAGGCCAGAAAATGGATCCTCTCATCGCCAGCCCCCTCTTTAAAATAACTCCCAGCACCTGCATTGGCTGGTGGCAGCTCAAAAGCTCCCGAGAGCCTGTCTGGGGCAGAAAAACTGAGCTGTCAGGGATGAATCAGGCTCGTCTGTGCAGCCAGAGCTGCCTGCGCTAGGTTTCTCTCCCCATCCAGCACAAAAACATCTGTAAAAGCCCCAAATACAACAACAAAACCTTTCCCTGCTCCGGCTCCCCGGGAGGCTGAGCTGCCCCCAGCCTCTTATCTATACCTTGGCTTGAGCTCGCTGCTTTCGCCAGGGACAGGAGCAGTCCCCATGCCATGGCCATCCTCCCGGGGGGGGTCCCTGCCGGGGGGGCACCGGGGGGCTGTGGCCAAGCCCAGCATGAATGATTCAGGAGCAGCCAAGGGCTGGGTTGGGTTTCAGCTGGGGCTGCGAAGGCAGGAGCTGGGTTATCAGGTATCTCGCTGCACTGGGGGGGAGGGATGGGGGAAGGCTGGAGATGTGGAGGGATGTGGGAATGAGCAGGAAAAGAGGAAAATGTGGGTGATGGTACAAAGGCAGTCCCCTCCTCCTGTTCCACCTCCTCAGCGCATCATCCCCTGAGCTCAGGGAGTTACCAAAATAACCCAGCAAACGTTCTCACCGTCTCCCCGCCTAATTCCTGCGGGAGCCCCGGCACAGCAGGCAGCCCCAGCCCCGGGCTGATGCTCTGAAGCTCTCGGGCTGATGCTCTGAAGCCACGACCCCGCTGCTCCGTGGGGCCGAGCAGGAGCGGCGGCGCTGGACGGAGGGGAGTCCCCCCAGGTAAGCGGGGCCGGGCCTGGGCCGTTGGCGCCGCGGGGTTTTGCAGCCGCAGCGTGCGGAGGGGAGCATCCCCCACGTGCAGCGAGTTTGCTGGGGCTCAGGCGCTCTGACAGGTTTTGCAAATTCCTCACTGGTAACCAGTAAAAGGGAGCAAGCGGGGCACGGATGGTGGCTCTTCTCTGGCCAGCCCGCCCTTCAGCAGAGTTGAGGTGGGGGCAGAGAGGGAAAAGCAGCCCCGGCCGGACCATCAGCAGCCCCCCGACCCCCCCCATACATCGCCCCCGGCCTCACTCACCCGCCGCCAGCTGCATCCAGGCACAGACTTTATAGACCGTGGCTGCGTTGCAGAAGAAGAAGAGGCTGAAGCAGAGGATGGAGCCGATGATGAGGAAGGTGGCGACGCCTACGAAGAACATGGCGGTTTTGAAGGCGCTGGAGGGGATGGTGCCGAAGTCGAGGGGGCTGCCCTTGCAGATGAGCTCGCCGGTGAGCGCGTTGCCGACGCAGTAGGAGAAGAGGCCGAAGTAACCGGCCTGCGGCGTGTCGATGCTGTCGCCGATCCAGTACGGCTGGACGAAGGTCACCACCATCAGGATGGAGAAGCAGAGGGTGAAGAGGGCCCAGAGCACCCCCATGGCCCGGGCGTTCCGCACGTAGTTGGTGTGGTAAATCCGGGCCGCCTCCTGCGCCGGCAGCAGCTTGGCCATGGCGGGGCCACGGCCACGGCCACGGTCACGGTCACGGCCACCGGCACCGGCGCTGCCCGCCCCGCCCCGCCCCGCCCCGGCCGAGAGCGGCGGCGGGAGGCTCCGGGCTCCGGCGGCGGCGGCGGCTGGACCGCCCCGGGGGGGGGGGGGGGGGGCGGGAAGAAGAGGGGGGGGCGCGGCGGCGCGACCCCCCCCCCCCCCCCCCCGCCTTGAGCTGGGGTGCGCTCGGGAGGAGCCGGGCGGCGCGGCTCGGGGTGGGACCCCCGGGATGGAGCCCGGTGCGCCCCCCCCCCGGGGAGGTGTCCTTAGGGTGAGCCCCCGGGAGGTGCCCTGTGGCCCCCCCCGGGATGAGCCCGGTGCCTCTAGGAGGTGTCCTTAGAGTGAGGCCCCGGGAAGTGCCCTGTGGCCCCCTCCGGGATGAGCCCGGTGCCCCCCGGGAGGTGCCCTGTGCCCCACACCCCCCCCCGGGATGAGCCCGGTGCCCCCGGGAGGTGTCCTGTGCCCCCCGCCCGGAGAGGTGTCCTTAGGGGGAGCCCCCGGGAAGTGCCCTGTGCCCCCCCCACAGACATGTCCTTAGAGTGAGCCCCCGGGATGAGCCCGGTGCACCCGGGAGGTGTCCTTAAGGGGGAGCCCCCGGGAAGTGCCCTGTGCCCCCCCCACAGACATGTCCTTAGGGGGAGCCCCCAGGATGAGCCCGGTGCACCCAGGAGGTGCCCTGTGCCCCCCCCCCCAGACATGTCCTTAGGGGGAGCCTCCAGGATGTGCTCTGCACCCCTGAGATGCACCCCCAGGATGTGCCCTGTGTCCCTGGGATGAGCCCCGGACCCCCAGGATGCACCCTGGGCCCCCAGGATGTGCCCCAAGGGTGTACCCCATACCCCTCGGATGCTCCCTGGGGATGCGCCCCGTGCCTCCACCGTGTGCCCTAGGATACCCCCCGGGATGTGCCCAGTGCCTGTGGGGTGAACCCTATGCTCCCAACGTGGACCCCAGGCTCCCCCCAGGGTGCACCCTGCGCCCTGCTGTGCACCCGTGGGGTGCACTCTCAGCTTCAACTGTGCCCCCCTAACGTGTTTTGTGCCCCGGGATGTGCTGTGCAGCCCCAGCACGCGTGTCAGGATGTGCAGAATCTGCACCCCTGGATGTGTCCCACCATGTGCCACATGCCCCAAAATGCGTGTTGGGGGGCTCCCCAGGTTGCGTCTTGCCCCCCAGGGGCTGGGCCGCGACCCCCCAGGATCCACCCAGGCTGTGTGTGTACCCCAGGATGTGTCCCAAATGCTGTGCCCGCTCGGCTGCTCCCCTCTGCCCTCCCAGCTGGTGTCACCAGGGTCTTCCCCCACTGGAGGGGGGTACACAGGGTGCTACACCAGTGGGGTGGTGACCTGTAGGCCCCTGGACCCCCCCCCTTCATCAACTCCAGGGCTGGCTGGGGCTGCGGATAAGGAGGGGACCCTCCCCACAGCCCTGCTGCCTTGGTGTTGCTGACGGGCTGCGGGCACTTGCGGCCACCTCGGGACCTTTCCCCACGAGTCACGTCTGCCCCACGTCCCGAGGGACCGCAGAGGCTTAGCTCCCACCGCGGGGCCTGGATGCCACGTGCCAGCGTGACGGTCACCCTGCAGCTCAACGTCACCCCCGCGGCCACCGACAGCCGGGGCTGCCTGGGCGTTAATCATTGCCGAGAGCAGCGGGGCCAAGGCGGGCGTGAAAAGCTGTTGCCGTTCCCAGGGCTGTTTTCCTTTCATCAGCCACATCCCCCCCTCCCCAAGCCCTGAAATGCAGAGCAAATATCTGGCAGGGCATGGTGCAGTGGTGGCCCGCGGGATGGGGACAGCGACAGGCTCTGGAGCACCGAGGGAGGCCGGCGGGATGCTGGCAGGGGGGGTGGACTTGCTCCTGCCACACTTTGGGCTTTCTTGAGAGGGTTTCTTGGTGTCTGTGGTCACAACGTTCACGTGGTGGAGGATCTGGGGTGGGCGCTTTCCCCACGGAGCAGAGCTCCTGCCGTGACACCGGCTCTCGCTTTGCCCATAAACCCATCCGCAGCGCCCAGCGAGGAGGGTCTCGGAGAGGCCCCAGCTCCGCGGCTCCCTGCAGCCGGGGTGAAGAAGAGGAGGGAGGACTGGAAATCCCCTCGGGGGGGGGGAAGCGCAGGAGCGCCGTTCCTTCGCGTTGGCTTTGGCCAGAGGAGCTGCCGAAGGGCAGGTTGGCATCACTGGCGTGGGACAGTCACCCGGGGACGGGGTGAGACGTCCCCATCGTGGCACCGCCTGGCAGCGTGGGCATCGCTGTTTTCCTGCCCCGGGCGGGGTGTCGCGGCGCTGCCCCAGTGCCACGGGTTGGGGTGTGATAGGAGCAGCCGGGTCAGCTGGTGGAGACGCCGGCTATAAAGCGCCCGGCGGCCCCGTGGCGGAGGCACGAGCGAGCCCACCATGGCCAACGCGCTGCCCCTCCGCCTGCTCCTGGCCCTGCTGCTGCTCCTGGCCCCGGCCCTGCCCGCGCCGCACGAGCGAGGGCTCATCTTCAACTTGGTAAGAAGGAGACTAATCCCGTCCTTGCTGCAGCCGGGGGATGCCCCGAGTTCTGCGCTGGGAGGGTTGGAGGGGTCTGTGGTGCTTTGGTCACTGGCAGCAGCTACACTGGGGGAGCCCCGGGCTGAGAGCAGCTTATTTATTGCTTATTTATTGCAGCTGGGGAAACTGAGGCAAGTGGGGATGGCGTGCTGGGTTTTCCAGGGTTGTGAGGGATCTCAGAGCCTGTGAAAGCAGCTATGTGAAGGGACAGGGGCGCCTGAAAGTGGATGGGATTGAAGCTCTCGGCTGTCTGCACCAGTGAGGACCCCCTCCCAGGGGGGGCTCGCAGGGAATGGGGAGGGGGGATGCTTCCCCTGCGGTATCTCAGCCCCGTTCCCACGAGCCTGGCAGAAAACCAGCACTTCAGCGGGTGGTGTTTTGGGCCAGAGTAAGGAAATGCTGCGGGGCAGGAGGCTCAGGCGTGCTGAGGCAGCGCTGGTGTCCGAATATCCACCCAAACCCCGGCTGGAGGGGGTTAATGGGGGGGGGGACACGACACACACACACAACACAGAGAAGGAGCTGGTGCTCAGGCCCTGCCCCGCGGCGCAGGACACCGGGGAGCTGTGTCTGCAGAGCGCCCAGTGCAAGAGCGGCTGCTGCCACCGCGTCAGCGGCCTGAGCCTGGCCCGATGCGCGCCGAAGGCGGCCGAGTCCCAGGCGTGCTCCCCGAAGGTACGTGCTGCCCCGCTCCCGGGGGGGGGGGACACACACGACAGGGACAGGGACGCTTCCCCCGCGCTGCACCGTGCCTTGCTTCCCCCCAGAGCATCTATGGGGTCTACTACAAGTGTCCCTGCGAGAGCGGCTTGACCTGCGACGCTGATAAAACCATCGTGGGCTCCATCACCAACAGTGACTTTGGCATCTGCAAGGACCCACGGAGCTCCGGCGGGTTGTGGTGAAGGAGGAGATCCCCCCCCCCCACCTCCGGTGACCCCCCATGCTGTCCCTGGCACCCTGCTTTTCCCTCTCCTCAGGAATGCCCAGACCTGCCTGCGCTGCCCCGGCTGCAGGGGGGGGTCGAGTAAAGAGCATCTTCTGCCGAGCTGCAAGCCGGCGTTTTCACTCGACGCGTCCCTCCCGCCCAGGACGGGGGCAACAGGGCCAGAGGGTCCTGGAAAAAGCTGCAGGAACACGATGGCTTAACCTATACATGCACATCATATGCAATTGTCTAATAATTTGGGCCAGCAGGGAGCCTTGGGGGGAGCGTTAGCAAAGGGGGTGGAGGGGAAGGGAAGATGCAGCAGCCCCAGGATCTGAGGGAGCCGTTTCGGGTTGTGCCGGACTCGGTTCATTTGCTGCTGCAGCTGCTCTGGTTGGAAACGTCCCCTGGAAAAACTTTGTCACGGGAGAAGAGGGACTTGCAGGTGGTGTCGAAGCTGTGGGTGCTGGGGGCCGTGTCTGCCCCCTCCGTGCTGTGCTGTGGGCTCTGGACGACCCTGCTCCTCTTCCTCGGGGTGGGCAGAGGCAGCCAGGAGGTGGTCGGCCGGGTGGGAGTCCTCCCCGAAAAGGAGCTGGTACGGGCAGTGGTTGTGCACCCCACGGGGGCCCCTCGTGCAGCACCTCCACCACCATCTCCCGGAGCAGCTTCTCCAGCTGCAAGATGCGCAGGAGCTTTGGGAATTCGGGATGGACCTGGGGTGAGGCGATGCTGGGAGCAGCCCCGGCTGGCAGAGAGGCAGCAAATCCCCTTAACTCTGCCCCCGGCAGGGTGGACTGTGGGGGGGTGATGCCCAGCCGTAGGTTTGGGCATGGGGAGGGGGCACAGACGTGCTGCGTGGGGGTGAAAAAAAGGAGGGAACCGCCTGGTAGAGCTGAGGGGGCAGAAGGAGGAGAGGGGGTCACCAGAGAGGGGGGGTCATGGCTTCTCTGGTGCGGTCTTAACCCCATGTGTCCTATCCCTGGGGGCAGAACGAACACCAGGCACCCACAGAGATGCTCCCCATCACCCCAAGGGGCTGAGCACCCCACAGCAGCCCGGCACACCGTGGGGTGGGGGGCCACGAGGCCTGGGGGCTGTACTGGACAGCTAAGGATGTCCTGCAGGAAACTTTCTTTCCAAGACAAGGGTGACCAGCAGCTGGAGGATCTGCACCCACAGAAACACCGTGGACACGGCTGGGAGGGTGGCAGGGCTGGTGGGGGGGATCCGCACTGTGGGGGGGGGACATGGGGGGCAGTGTGGGGATGGGGCAGGGACCCGCAAGCCCTTGCCCGCCTGGCTCAGCAGAGCTGCAAGAGGGGAAAGCGCTGACCCGGATTTTAGTTTTAAACTGGGGGGGGGGGGGGGTTGACAAAAGCGTTGAGGGTCTTGGTGTCCTCGTGGTGGTCGCGGCAGGAGGCCACCAGGTCCATGTCCTCACGTGTGCGGGGCGAGGCCCGGAGGAGGGGGGAGCTGGGGATGGGGACAGGGAGAGCAGCCCCCCTCCTGCGGCCGACAGACACCCCCCCCCTCCCCGGGGCAGAGCGAGGGGACACGGGACAGGGGACACGGGGTGTCTCCCCGCCCTCACCATCTGCGTGGGGTCCTCAGCCCCACACGCGCCGTTCCACACCAGCAGGGAGCACCCTGGAGAGACTGGCGTCACCCAGAACCCAGAATGGGGGTACCGGGAGCCCTGCCTGCCCAGGCTCAGCCTCGCCTGGTGCTTTGCATCCCTGGCACGGGCAGGATGTGGCCAGCACCCGGGCGCTGGGACCAGCAGAGGGCAGCCGCAGCGTGCCCACAGCCTGGGACCCCCCCCAGCCCTGGTGACCCCCCCCCCCCCCCCAGCCCAGCAGGGACCCCCCCCCCCCTCAGGGGCACCTCAGCCTCGGGGGGGTGCTGAAATGCACCCAGCCCCACAGCCCTGACACCCCTTGAGCCCTGCTTTGGGGGTCACCCCTTCCCTGGAGGGGGGGGATATTGGGGGGGGGGGCAACCTAGGCCAACTCCTGGTGTGTATGGTGGGGATTTTGGGGTATCCCCATTTTTAGGGTGTCCCTATGTTGGCAGGAAGAGGATGGGGGCACCGGAGAGGTAAGAAGGGGGTGGCTGTGCTGGAGGGGGGGCACACACGCATATGAACGTGTGTGTGCCTGTGTGTCCCCCCCCATCTCGGCCCTATATTTACTGGTGAAGCGGCGGCTTTATTTTGGCAGCTCTCAGCTGGTAAATATTGGCTTAAACCGAAAACCAGACGCCTGACTCACGGCGTCTTAACAAACACAGGAAGGGGCCCCCGGCGCTTGTGGGGTGCTGCCAGCCCCAGGGACGGGGGGGGGGGGGGGGCCACCAGGGTGGGGGCACCCTGAGCTGGGAGGGGGGGTGTGAAGAGGGCATCTTCCTGTGGGCAGTTTGTGCTGCAGCAAGGTCCCCAGTGAAGGGGGGGGGATCCCCCCGTGTCATGTGTGTGTCCCCCCGTCTGGAGCTGGGGGTAGGGGACACGGGGGGGACACACCCCACACCCCCCCCCCCCACTGGGGACCTCACTTCACCCTGGGTGATGGAGGGGTGCAAGCATTGGGGTGCCCCTTCCTCCCACCCTGCTTTGCACAGCGTCTCCCCCCCCCCCCCCCCCACTAAAAAGCGACGAAGAGGAGTACAAGCCAAAGGAGCATTGCAAGGGGGGGGGGGGGTGTTACCCAAGTCCCCCCTGCCCCCCAAGTCTCACCCCATCCCCACAGCTACACCCCACTGCACACCCCAATCCCTGCCTGCTCACCCATGGGGTACCCCCAGTGCCCCCCCCCTTTACATCGGAGGGGGGGGAAGGGAAGATTTTCTGCCCCCCCTGGTGCCCCCCCCCCCCCCGCCTGTGCTGTTTTTACCAGGAGGGTACAGGATGTTCTCGCACAGCCGCGCTCCCTCTCCCCAACCTCCCTCCTCCCTCTCTCTTCCCCCCCCCTTTCCGCCAGCCCTCGGCCTTCACCTCTTCTCCTCCGCGGTGCTTTAAACCCTTTTTTCTGCAAAACTCTGCCTTTTGCTCTTCTGCTTATTAATTTATTTTTTTATTATTTTTTTTAAATTATTATTATTATTATTTCTTCAAAGATGCCGTTGAAGCTCCTTCTCTGCCCATCCTGGCGTGTCCCCCCACCCCCCAATTCACCACTCTCCCCCCACCCTGTACCATCACAAGCTGTGGCTGCAGGGGGGGTCTCCAGTGGGGTGCCCACCTGATGCCCATCCTTGCAGACACCCCCAGCAAAGACACACACACCCCCCGCCGCTCCAAACAGGGAGCACCCTCCCCACCCCACCAAAAACCTGAAGAAAAATGGGGTCCGGGGGGGGTGTGTGTGGAGTGTTTGCTCCTGCAATCTTCGCCCCATGACAGGGGGGCTGCCAGACCCCGGGGGTGGGGTAAATACTTCTTGGTGGGGGGCTGAGGTGCCCCCAACCCCCACAGAGCAGCCCCGTAGCACCCATCTTGGGGCAGCGATTTGGGGGGTGGGGCAGACCCCAGGCACAGCCTGATTCTTTCCCCACCCCCCAGTTTGCTGCAGACTGGTATCACGCAGGGGCCTGATCCTGTCACAGAGTCGGGGGGGGTCTCACGGGGGTTGGAGGGTGCTGGGGGTGTCTGTGCTACAGGCAAGAGCCCGAGGGGCTGCCCGGAGGCATCTGGGGGTGCACAGAAGCATTTGGGGGTGCCTTAGAGGTGTTTAGGGGCGCCCAGAGGCATCTGGGGCTGCCTGTTTGTTTTTGGAGCTGGGTTTTCTTTTTTTCCCCCTCTGGATGAGTTTTTCCCCCCGATTTCAGTCAGGGCACGGGCAAGGTGGTGGCCGGTGCATCTGAGGGGGACAGTGGCCCCTCTCGGGGTGTCTCTTGACCAGGGTGGCTTTCGGCTGGAGGTGGCCACTGAATTTGCGAGGCGGGAGCTGCGGGGATGAAGCCCGTCCCTGCGGGGTGTGGGACACCCCAGCCAGCACCGGGGGGCTCGGGGAACCCCAAATCCCCGGGGGGAGATGCGCCAGTTTGCCCTCACCGCGCCGTGCTGAGGTGGGACACCTCAACCAGCACCTGCAGCTGCACAGCCCCCACGGCAGGTCCGAGCTGGGGGGCACAACAGGGTGCAGACCCCCCACGCACCCAGCTGCAGCCCCCCAGGGAATGGGGGGTGGGCCTGATCCTATGACTCGCTGATGGGTTTTCCTAAAACTGGGCCTGGTTTGTACTGTTCTGGGGAGATGGTTTAGGGATGGAGCTGGCAAGAAGCTGTTCTTCAAGCTCTTGCTGGAGGAAAAGCAACCTTTCTAGCAACAACAAAAAAAAAAAAAAAAAAAAAAAATTCATGAAAAGCTCTGGTTTGCCTCTTCTTGCCAAAACCAATTGTTGAAGATTTTTCCCGACCTCCCCGGCTTTGCTTTCGCATGTGATGGAGGGAATAATATCAGATGCTCCTGTTTTTCCTCTCTGATGTTTTTCCCCAGGGTTGGAAGAGAGGAAGGACCCGGAGGGCAGGGACTGGCTCTGGGCAAACCACATCCCCACAGGCCCCAAAATCTGGTGCGGGGGTCCCCATCCCTCCTCCATGCTCAGGGTTGGCTTTGGGGCTGGCAGTATGGCAGGGTTGGGGTCCCTCGAGGATGCTCCCCCAAGCCAGAGCAGCCCAGGGCTGAGGACTGCCCAGCTCAGGGCAGTAGTGGAGGTTACAGGTGGGACATGGGGACACAGAGGTGGCCCTGAGGGACACCCAGGCACCCCACGCACCTCCATGAACCCCTCCTGATGCTTTCCAGCAGGGCACAAGTGGAAAAATCCTCCAGCTGAATTATTTGGGCTGCTGGAAGAATTAATGAGTGCAATACGGGGAGGTGGGGAGGGCGAGGGGGGGCTGATGGGCTGAGTCAGCCTAAGGAGGGCTGGGGGCTGGGTGCTCTGCAACAGCTGGGTTTGGGGGGGGGGGTGGTGGCTCTCCCCAGCTGGGATTCTCCCTTGTTGAGTATTTTTAGCATTAAATTCCCTGAAATGCTTGGTGAACTGGGCTGGGAGAGCGGGCCAGCACTGGGGGTGGGAGGGAAATGCAGGGGGGATACTGGGGGGGTGTTGGGGTGGGGGGATGCTGGGGGGGATGCTGAAAGGGATGTTGGGGGGGGTGCTGGGAGGGGGGATGATGGTGGGGGTGCCAGGGGTGATGTTGGGGGGTGATGCAGGGGGGGATGCAGAGGGTATGTAGGGGGAGGAATGCTGGGGGGTGATCGAGGGGGGGGAGGCAGGGGGGGAATACAAAGGGCGATGTAGGGGGGGTATGCTGGGGGGTGATGGAGGGGGAAATAGAGGGGGGGATGCAGGGGGGGGGATTCTGGGGGTGATTCAGGGAGGGATGCAGAAGGGGGATACTGGGGGGCAATGCAGGGGAGCATGCTGAGGGGGATGCTGGGGGGAGTGCGGGGGGGGGATGCTGAGACGAATGCAGGGGGGCAATGCAGGGAGTGATGCTGGGGGGCATGCTGGGGGGGGGGGTGGGGGGTGCGGGTGGGTTGGGTGGGTGATACTGGTGGCCACACCATTCCCCCCCCAGCCAGCGGGTCTCACCAGCAGCAGCGAGGGGGTTTCCCGCCTGCACGGCCGGAGGCAGCCAGCAGCGCCCCCCCCCCCCCCAAACCCCTTCGGGCAGCCCCCTCGCAGGCAGCCCCCGCCCCCCCGGCAGGGCCCTGCGGAGCCGTTTCTCTCCCCCCCCACCGCCGCGGGTGCTGAGTCAGGCTGTTCCCGGCGCTCCCGCGGCCGGTACATCGCGTCCCCACGCCGGGTCCTGGCAGCCCGCCCGCCCGGTGCTGCTCCCGGCAGGGGCAGGGCCCGGCGCCCCCCCCCCCCCCGGGGCTCCCTGCATGAGCTTCACGGGGTTGGCGATGCAGCAGCCGGGAGCAAAAAAACCTGGGAGCTGCAGGGTGGGATTTTTTTTTTTGGCAGGGAGGATGCAACCGTTGCACCGGCCCGAGTCATGCTTGTGCATGCGTGTGCCCCCACCCCCCCTCTCCGAGGGGCTCCCCAGGCACCCAACGAGCATTAGGGCACCCTGGGGGTTTTTGGGGTGCCGATCCCCAATTGCACCTCCATTCCAGGAGCATCCCCCTCGCACGGCGCAGCCTCTCTGCTGAGCAACCCCCCCCGGGGGTGCTGCACCCTCCGCCAACACGGGAGAGAGGTGCCAGCTTGCACCCCCCCACACACTCCCCCTGACACCCCCATCCCAGTGGGGCAGGCGGGGAGCCCCAGCCGCCCCCAGTCACCCGCCCGCCCCGGCAGAGGCTGGTACAGTTCGTTACGTCCAGACCGGAATGTACTTTGTGTTAGAAGTGGCCCCAGGCCAGGACAGCAAAGCCGGACTTTATTTATCCTCCCCGCTCCGGCCCCGCTGCATCCTGCCGTCACTTGTGCAGGGTAGGATCTCCGGTGGGGCTGGGGGGGGGCCTGGACCCTGCCCGACTCCCCCCACGCACTCATCTCCAGCTGGGGGTGCGGGGATTTTTTCCCCTTTTTCCCCACGGGGGGAAATAATCGGGGAAAATATTTGTGGCCTTTCAGCAGGTAAAAGCTGTCCCCGGTGTCGAGGGGAAGCGCCGTGGGGCAGGTGGGGGGTTCGGGGATGGATCCAGCCCCGGCAAAGCCTCTGGCTGGAGGTACCCCCGCCTGCTTGCAGGAGGTTTTTTTTTTTTTTTTTTTTTTGTATAACGGGGACCGGCGTTCGGATCGCAACCCGGAAATTTATGGATTGGAAATGCGTGGGGAAAGGGCCAGCCCTGGCCAGGCTGCGGGACGGGGCCTGCGAGGGCGCAGGGGGCTGCTGCGGGGGTGTCCCTCTCCGTTTCGGAGACGCCTGGGCCCCCTCGGCCGGTAAAAAAACCATCGCAGGAGCTGTGAGTCCCAGCAAAGCGAGGGGGGTCATGGCCAGAGGAGGGATCGCTCCGGCCGGGATCCCGCCACTCGCCGCCGGCCACTCTCCACATCGACATGCAGCATCCCTCCCGCAGCCCCTCCGGTAGGACAGGGGGTTTGGGTTTTTTTTTTGAGGGGTGGGAGATGATTTCATGCAGAAAGCAGTTTACCAGCTGCTTTGCACTCCCCAGGTGCACCGAGAGGGTGGTCTTGCCCTGCTGCCCCCACCCCCCCATGCCCCCCCCCCATGTCCCCACCGTCCCTCCCTGCCGCTGGTGCAGCTGCACCTACAGCCGGCGGCGAGGACAGGCTGTCCCCCCCCCCCCCGTGCTCTGCTGCCTGTTGTGCAACACCCGGCTGCACCTCCCATAAACACCCGGCTCCCGCCACGCTGCACCCCCTGTCCGGTGACAAACCGGGCCCTTGGAGGGGTGCACGTGCTGGGGGAACGGGGTGGGGGGGGGATGGGGGGGTGCAGGACAGTGGGGCCACAGCATCACCGGCTTGCAAAATGCTGCTTTGCTCCCCAAAACGGGCAGCGGGTGGGTATCGGGGTACCGGGGTGAAGAAGGATGGATTTGGTCCCCTCAGGAGGACAAGCATCCCGCCTGGGTCATTCGCCCGGGGCCAGCGGTTTGTGCTGTCACATGCGGAAGGAAACTGGGAGAAAACCCATTTCCTCCGCTTTCCAACGTGCTCGAAAGATTCACTGAAGTGGCTTTTAGATGTGAAGCCAAGGCGGAGGGACGCCTCTCCTCCCCGCGCTCTCAAGGCAGATTAACGTCAGTTATTTTTATCAGAAGACAAGGATGAATAAAAATACCCCCTATTTTATTCAAATTCTTCTTTTCTTTTCAGCCGCTGCCCGTCTCACATCACACAAGGTGCTCTGGGGCCGGCACAAGGAAAGACATCCCCAGCAAAGGGGGGGGCTCCAGGTTTTGTTCCCTGGTTCTGGTGGGGGGCAAGGCTTTCCCCCAAGACCCTTCATCCTTTTGGGGCTGGGTGACGGCTGCGCAGTGGGCGCAGGGCTGGGGCAGGACATGTGTGGCCAGCTGGATGGCGAGGGGGAACAAGCAGTGCCCCTGGCAGCCGCCCCGAAGCTGCCCGGGATTATTTATGGAGCAGATTTCCTCCAGGTTGTGTTACAGGGATGGGGGGGGACGGGGAAGAACCTGGCATCAGGGTGAGGGGGCTTCAAGCATCCCACCACCCAAGAAAGCAGAGTGAGCTGGGAGGTTTGGCACTGCTATCGCAGTGATTTGGAAGATGTCTTTTAAAAAAAAACCCACTCTGGTGCTTTCTTTCCATGTATTTTGCTGCTTTTTTTTTCCTATGCAAACAAACAAATTTATCATTTCTGTGGGGCAAGGGCACCAGGCTGGACTGATGGGATTTTTGAGGGCTTGGGTGTTATCTAAGGGGCCTGCACAAAATTAAGCTGCAGGATTCCTGATACTGGAAACCCACAATATTTATTTGGTAAATGGAAATTTAAAGCTCTTGGAGGCTGAGCAGGAAATGTTTAAAACCAAAATGCGAGATTCACCTGGGTTATTTTAGAGAGGGAAAAATTAAACATCATGAATCTTTCTTTTCTAAAGTAAGCTTTAATTTTAACTCCGTATTTCCAATGAGTGCCATCGGTGTCTAAATTACAGCTGGGAAAATCAAATATTGGCATCAAAGAGCAGACCTGGGAGCAAGCATCCACCAAGGCAGTGCTGCCTGAAGCCCGACCCGGCGGGGTTTATTGGATCAACACACATGAATCAGGGCGCAGGTTGGGAGCTGTGAGCCCCAGCTCCAACACAAGCCTGGTAAAAATGAACACTTTATAAAAACACTCAGAGATGCCACTTTTTAAATCTGCTCAGTGATCCACTCCCCCCAGCTTTTTTTTTTTTTTTTTTGCCCTTCTTGGCTCAGGCACTGCAATTAGCTGAACGTGCACAAGCAGCGATCGGATGTTTAATTGCAAATGCACGTTATTTCTAATCTCGGGGGGTATTTTGAGGCAGCTCTTAACAAAAATCTTATCTCTGTACTGAACGGGAACATTTCTGCGTGTCCCAGCAGCCGGCGTGTCCTCCAAACCCGCGTCTCTCTGTCTCCAGCTGTGGGAAACTGTTATTTGCTCTCCAGTGTGATATTTCCCTTAACACCCCCCCAGGAGGTCGCAGGGGGTTGGGGTACCTGTGGGGTGCTGCAATGGGGATGGGGCACCTCCGAGGCATTGCAGAGGGCGGGTTGGTCGTGGGGCTGGGGTGTCCTTGGTGGGAGGGGGGGGATGTGGGGTGCACAAAGGTGCCACCCCCACCCCCCCCCCAGGGTCACTGCTCAGGGCTGGGGGAACCTTGGAGCGCTGCGTGGGGCCGAGGTGTCCTTGGGGCTGTGAAGGGAGCTGACGCCTGCCCCCCCCCCCCGGGGGCATTGTACTGGGCCAAGCAACATCCCAGGGCATTGCATGGGGCCAGGAACCCCCCCTCTGGGCATTGCATGGGGCTGGGACCCCCCCCGGGGCATTTTAGCAGGGCCCTGGGGCCAGGAACTCCCCTCTGGGCATTGCAGGGTGGCCCTGGGCATTGCATGGGGCTGGGACCCCCCCGAAGCATTTCAGGGAGGCGCTGGGGCCAGGAACACCCCTCCCCAGGGCATTGCACGGGGACCTTGGGGCCAGGACCCCCCCACACCCCCCCGGGGCACTGCAAAAGGCCCCAGGGCAATGCATGGGGCCGGGAACCACCCTGGGGCATTGCAGGGGGGTCCTGGGCATTGCATGGGGTCGGGACCCCCCTTCTTCCCCCCCGGGGCCAAACGCTCCCCCCCCCCCTCCCCAGGGCATTGCATGGGGTCAGGAACCACCCCCCAGGGTATTTCAGGGGGACCCTGAGGCCAGAAACTCCCCCTACCCCGGGGCACTGCAAAATACCCCGGGGCATTGCATGGGGTCGAGACCCCCCCCCCGGGGCATCACCCGGAGCCGGGGACCCCCCCGGGGCATCACCGGGCCCGATCCCCCCCCTCCCCACCCCGGCTCGGCCGCCGCTGCCCCCGGCAAGTGCGGCGGGGCGGGGCGGTGCTCCAGGGGCGGGGCGAACTCTCCGATTTGCATACCGCCGCCACGCGAGCCAATGAGAAGGCGGGAGCGGGCGCCGTCGCCGAGACGGGCAGGCGGAGAGGCCAATAGGCAGAGGGCGGGAAGGCGGGGCGCGGCGGCCGGGGTGGGGGGAGGCTCGGCCGGCGCGGGTGCCCGGGGCCACTCGGAGCCCGGCGGCGGCGGCGAGTGGGGCGGCGGCAGGTGGGTCCTGCGTGGGGCTGGGGGGGGGGGGGTGTGTCCCTGCGTGGGGCTGGGGGGGGGTGTCCCTGCGTGGGGTTGCGCGGTTCTGTGGGGAGTCTGTTGGATGGGTGGGGGTGGGAGTGGGGCTGGGGAAATACCGTAGGTCTCGGGGCGGGGGGTGGGGTGTGGGGTGTGTGGGGGTTGGGGAGGGGCGTGCGTGGGGCTGGTGGACCCTGCCTGGGGCTGTATGGGGGGAATCGGGGTCCTGCGTGGGGCTCATGTCGTGTGGGAAGGGGGATGGTGCCCCCAGCTGATGCTGTGGGGTGGGGAGAGGATGGGGGTCCCCACCCCACAGACACCCCCCCCCCCACCAGTGCAGGGGATGTGCGGGGGGGGGGGAGTTGATACAGAGGTACCTGCGCGTTGCTGGGGACACTGGGGTGCACTGGGATGGGGGCAGGGGATGAGGTGGCCTTGGCGGGATGGGGTCACAGCGGGTGGGGGTGGGTGTCCCGCCCTTTGTGCCAGTGGGACAGCTCTCGAGGGAAGGGATTTTTCTTTTTCCCCACTTTCCCTCCCCAAACGGGGCTCCTGTGCTCAGAGGTTACCTCCAGTGCCACCTACCAGAGATACCCTATGGGCTGGATGCATAAATACATAGTTTCATTGACAGTATGTATAAGTGATTGCACAAGGTAAATGTGAATATTTTTTTAAGCTTCTGCTATTTTTCCCTCCTCTCTGGGCACAAAATCTCTTTCAAAGCTTCTGGTTTTGAAATGCACGTTTGAGTGATCTTGCTCTTATCAGGAAAGAGTATTTTACACGATGAGCTATAAGAGCTCGTGGGGGATATATATGTCCATCATCAGTGTGTCCCCAGCTGAGGCTCCGATGCTGCAGCCGTGTTTCTGTCCTCGCTGTGCAGAGCAAACAGGATCACACTGCTGCTGGTGAAAAAAAAAATTTGAAAAATTAAAAAAACCACCCAAACCAAAAAACTCAGGAGCTGGTACTTTAGGTTTTTAAAGGTAGATTTGAAATGGTGTCTCTCCATAACGAGCTGTTAAACTGGGACATCACCGAGGCATCAAATCCAGCCTGGAAACTGGGATTACAAATTCAAAATGGAAAGTTGAAAGCACAAATCACTCCTTCCTTTAACATGTGGGGAAGCTGCATCCCTCCCGCATCCCTCCCTGTGCTGCAAAGGGCTGGGGGGAAGAAAATCATTAAATCTGTCTGCCAGAGCCTATATCTGACTTTTATGGGCTGTTTTCCCAAAGGTGTGGTGGGTTTGGGTCACGCGGTGATGCTGTGACTCGGAGATGCTCAGGTTTTAATTCCAACCTGGCACCCTAGAGATGGGACAAAACTGCTGGGGGGGGGGCACAGAAATTCCACTGAAGCAGAGGGAACAACGGCTGCCACTGGTGAAGGGTTAACAGGGAGTGTGGGGCTGAGCAGGAATAACTTTCCAGTGGTGCTGAGAGTTTTGAAGCCCAAAGGTGGGGGCTGGGGTCCCTCGGGGTGGTGCTGGGGTCCCTTGAGGAGGTGCTGGGGTCTCTCAAGGAGGTGCTGGGGTCCCTTGGGGAGGTGCTGGGGTCCCTCGGGGTGGTGCAGGTCCTCGGCCCCATGGTGGGGTGGGTGATGGCAGCAACCCGTGTGATGGAGGAGGAGGAAGATGAGGGAGCTGGGTGCTCTCAGGAGCCAAGGTGGTGAGGTGCTGGCAGGGGAAGGGGTGGCCAGGGGTGTCTCGGGGAGTTTGGGATGATAAAGCAGGTGGGGCTTGTGCTGGAGAAAACGCGTGGTGGCATGAAAAAGGAAAAAAAAAAAAAAAAAAAAAAGGCAGATTTCTGGGGAATTGGTGGTGAAGGTACCACTTCTGCCACAACGCGCGGGGAAGGACGGTGGCATGTGGCCTCTCTGGTGGTTTTGGGTTTGGAGGATGGAGCGGGACTGGTGCTGGGGGGGCTCGGGGGGGAGGCTGGCACGGTGCGGGCTGCTCACGATGTCCGTCCTGCCCGGAGCAGAGCTGTCTGCTGGGATGACAGCTTGTGCCGTTATTTTTTTTTTTCTTCTTTTTTTTTTTTTTTAAATAAAAGCAAATAATCATAGCTTCCCAAGGCTGTGTTTGCCCAGCACATGCTTGAATTATGTTGAGGTTCTTTCCCAGCACTGTTAGAGCATCTTCCTGCTGGGACGAGCCAGAAAATAAGGACTGTTCCCAAGGAAAAAACAAACTGTGTCCTCCAAGAACATCACTCTGTGTAATTAGGTGTGTTTTAATTACTGGCTTACAGAAGGAGAAAGTTTGCTGCAAGGCTGGAGGTGCTCAGCACCAAGACCCCACTCTGTCTGGCCACAGCTCCCCGGGCTGGCTCTGGGGGGGAAATAGTCTGTAAAATATTTGGAGAATAATTTATTTTCAGTTATTTATACTATTATACTATTTAATACTTTATTTTATATTCGCTCTCAGTTATATATATTTATATAAAGTTCTTACAGTGCCTTGAGGGAGCTGCGGAACTTGTACTGATCTCATGCATATCGCATGGAAATATTAAATTACTTAGCAAGGGTTTTTTTATTTTAATTCTGTATGTTTGTGGGCATAAAGAAATGGCCATGAGTGATCTAATGTATAAGCTGTTCATGTAACTCACAGAGCTGACGAGCTTTTTCTGTAATTAGTAATTGTGACTGAAATAAGGATTTCTGATTTTGCAAGTGAGTGTATTGAAAATTAGGAAAATAGTAGTAAAGTAACTGTCAGCAGTAAAGAGGTGGGATGATGAGGGACCGCAATTAAATCATCTTCTGCCTGTGATGTCCCGTCTGTGTAAATAGTAGTATCGCTCTTAGAAAGAAAATTAGCCTCGTTAAAAGTATTCCCATTTGAAGTACTTTTTATGTTAAATTTAATCACATAATTCAATAAACCGAGCAAATCGATGAAGCTGTTTGCACCGCCTCGCGAGTAGCATCACCTCCGGGACAAGCCCCCATCCCGGCGAGGAGCCCCGGCGGGATGTGGGCTCCCTCCCCATCCTCGAGCGATGCACATATGTGTGTGTGTGCACACACATGCATGCTCATGTGCACGTTTCCACTCCTCTGGGCGGGGGTGAGGGTCACCCAGCAGCGATGCAGCATCGTCCCCAAAGCCTCCTGACCCCCCCCGCCCCCCGCTGCCCTGGGGCTGAGCCCCCGGCCCCTTGCAGCATCCCCCGGTCCCGGTCCCCCCTCCCTCGGTTTGGTCGCTCGTGGCGTTTCTTTGTCCTCTCCAAGAAATCCCGATTTGGCACAGGAACAGGCTGGTGTTTCACAACATGCCGGGAATTGCCGTTTGCCCGATATAATTTGGCATTTATAGACCGTTGGTGCACACGTGGCTTCAAAAAAGGTCTCGGGCGCCGGGTTATTTCTGGGGGTGCGGCATTGCTGGCGGCAATGCTGGATGCCGAGTCGGGGATCCCCCCCCTGGGATTTGGCACCAGGGCTCTGGAGATGCTGCCGAGCCTTTGTGCGTGGGGAATAAGTGATTAAATACAGCATTTCAACTGCCAGGGGTTGTTGCGGTTTAGGGTCACCTGGATGTAAATTTATTGGAGAAAGCCCTCATCTGTTGCAAGCAATGAGATGCTTTTAGAAATTAAAAAAAAAAAATAAAATCCAAGTTTAATTGTCGAATTTATTTTGGAGAAGAGTCTGAATTAGAACAGAATTGGCAAACAAGGCGTTTCTTGTTTATTCCCATTTTGTATTTATTTTAGTTCCCCCAAGCTGTCTCTTAAAATTGAATTTGCTCGGTGTTGGTGTAGCTGCTGCCAGGAGGATGCTCTGAGCTGCCCATGGAGCAGTCAAGCTTTACCGGGGTGCACTGTACAGAGAGGGGAACTTCACATTTAATAGCCAGAGGTGGAATTTTTATTTCCAGTGTCCCAAAAAGCCTGGCCGGCTCTGTTCTCCCTGGTTGTTTTGACCAGGGGAGAAGACACGATGGAAGGAGTCTGCTCATTTTTGATGGCAAAAAACCCAGTGAGAGAGTGCCAAGGAGTGGGTAGTGGGATGTCAAGCACTTTCTCACTTTTTAAAGATGGTTTATATAACCTGCTTGGCTATATTATTATTTTTTTTCCCCTCTAGTTACATAATCCTAATTTATGAAAGCCTTAGGAAATTGCATTCCCCACTGTTATGTGAGCGTCTGTATAGAATGGCCTCTGAGCTTGCTTGGGTGCTGTGCTCAGCCCCTCTGCCAGCCATCTCCTGAGAAGCTCAGGCAGGTGTGGAACAGCTTTTATACACTAATTATTACTATTTTTTTATTTCTTTTTTTTCTATCGTCATCCGAGGCTGTGTCAGCCCCCCAGGAGCGGGCTGGGTATGGGCTGGTGCCTCTCCCTGCTGATGGAGAGCAGGGGCTTCACTGGTGGCTCTGACATTCCTGTTTTTTTTTCCAGTATTTTTGGGTTGTGCCACTTGTGGCAGTGGCTTGTCGTGATTTTCATGGTGGGAGCAGCTGAAATCCTCGCTGGGGCTGGGGACAGCTTTGGGGCAGGCGGGGTAGGAGCTGCAGAATATCGGTGTGTAAAACCCTCGACCTCATCCCATCCCTGGCACCTTCTCCTCTTGGAAGAGCAACAACCCATAAATGTTTATGGGTTTTGCTTTTCCCAGTATACATTTGTCTTTTGGAATAAAGAAGGGGAAAAAAATATAGTGCTTGTTTGCTTTTTTTTTTTGTTTTGTTTTGTTTTGTTTTGTTTTGTTTTGTTTTGTTTTTTCTTCACATTAAAGCAGAGGGTGTTGTGTCTCTGGGTACCCACACTGGAGGGGGTGGACCACGAGCTGCCGATGGGATGCTCACAAGAGGATCAAGTCCAAAGGAGCTTTATCCCTGTGATTTTTTTATTTTGAAGCAACCTGAAAAAAAAAAAAAACGAGCAAGCATTTCCTCACTGGTGTCTTGCTAGATAACCAGCAAAAGAGCCAGATTATTTTTAATGGGTTTAATTGTAAACTGAGTGAAAAAAAAAAAAACAACACCTTTCTGAAAGTCTTTTGCATGTTGGTGGTGTGGGTGCGCTTGCCTTGCTCCCGGAGGGTGCAGACAGGCTGAACCCATCTTGCTTTCTGTTGAAATATTTATTCTGGCAGAGAGCTGCGAGCCGTCCTGCTCACTTGTTTCTCTCACTGCAGCTGAAACTTGAGGGCAGCCTCTTATTCAACATATTTTAAAAAAATAAAAATCAGTTATGACTTGGATCTTAACTAAAACCACTTCAGAAGCTTAAAAATATTAGCTAGGCAAAATGATTAAGCAAGTGTGACGGGAACACATACCGTTGTATTTAAGTTAGCCACATGCAGTAGTTTCCTTTTCTCCCTTTGTTATTCTCTAAATTGCTTAAAAACCTTCCCTTGCTGCCGCTCTTCTGTTATGAGCACTGAGACCTTCTGGTCCTCGGGAGGTGATCGGTGGCCGCGTCCCTCTCCGGGGTGTCCCCGCGGGGCGGGAGGCACCGGGATGCCCGTGGGGTGCCCGTGGGGTGCCCGTGGGGTGCCCGTGGGGTGCCGGGGTCTCTGTGGCAGGAGTTCACCCGGGAGCAGCAACCGGCCGTGGAAAAAGGAGACCAGAGAGTTCGCTTCGGTCCCCAGTCAGTCCCGGGTCACCCAGGGCGTGATGGAGGGTCGTCAGGGTGCTGGGCAATTAAAGCAGCTCTGTTTGCGTTTTGGTTTTTGTTTTTGTTTTTTTTTTTTTTTGTTTGAATAAAAGTTGCCATGACTGGCCCGCCGGGATGTTAGCTGCTTGCACAACGTGCGCGCTAGGAAGTAAATCAATCCATGTGAGTGTTTTTCAGCTAGCAATAATATAAATTTTATGGCTTCCCCGTTTATTTTAAAGGAACGGGGGGAAAATCAAGTGGCCAAGATTTTTTTTTTTTTTTTTTTTAAAAAGTAGTTAATTTTTAATTCAAGTTGTGATGAATGAGTGTGAGAAATGGCACTCGGTGTCTGGGTGCAGCCGTATGTGTCAGGGTGGAGTTGAGGATTATGCGGAGCTGCCATGTCGGGTTTAAGAAGGTCATATTTTCTTAGAAATCCTGATTTTATTACTGACTAAATGCCATGTCCCTGGGTCTCTGCTCCGCAGGCTGGCATTGCAGGTGTCTTAAAACATCCTCATCTGGGGAAAGTTGTTGCTCCGGCCTTTCCCTCTCCTGCTGCTCAGGGACACTTTGCTCAGTAAGTAGGTATTTTATGAGAAAAAAGTAGTTTTCCTGATCAAGGGGGAAGCAAAACAACAGTGGGATTGTGGGGAGAGCCCGGCTGCTGTGGTAACTGGGTTGTTCTTCGATTTGGGGTGATGCTCACCAGGATTCGGGGCCCCACGTCTCCCCCCTGCGCATTTAGATTTGCTGGTTTTGAGCCTGACCTTTGCATTTTAAAGAAACTCCCTCTCGTGTTGCAATCCGAAGCTTTTAGGGCTGCTGTGGTGCTGTGGAAGTGAAAGCGCTTTGTGCTAAGTGGGTCTTAAAAAACAAACCCCAGAGCAGTCAGCTCTTATTTTTCCATCCTGTTAATTTTCATCCTTGACTTTCAGCAACGGTCAATAAAAAAGTTGGACAGCATATAGCCTTTTACCCCCCCTGTTTTCCCCCCCATTTTTTCTATCTCATTTTTCCCCCCCTTTTTTCCCCCCTTTTTTCCCCCCCTTTTTTCCCCCCCTTTTTTCCCCCCCTTTTTTCCCCCCCTTTTTTCCCCCCCCTTTTTTCCCCCCTTTTTCCCCCCCTTTTTCCCCCCCCTTTTCCCCCCCTTCCCCCCCCTTTTTCCCCCCCCTTTTTCCCCCCCTTTTTCCCCCCCTTTTTCCCCCCCTTTTTCCCCCCCTTTTTCCCCCCCTTTTTCCCCCCCCTTTTTTCCCCCCCTTTTTTCCCCCCCTTTTTCCCCCCCTTTTTTCCCCCCCTTTTTCCCCCCCTTTTTCCCCCCCTTTTTCCCCCCCTTTTTTCCCCCCCTTTTTTCCCCCCCTTTTTTCCCCCCCTTTTTTCCCCCCCTTTTTTCCCCCCCTTTTTTCCCCCCCTTTTTTCCCCCCCTTTTTCCCCCCCTTTTTCCCCCCCCTTTTTTCCCCCCCCTTTCCCCCCCCTTTTTCCCCCCCCTTTCCCCCCCCTTTCCCCCCCCTTTTTCCCCCCCCTTTTTTCCCCCCCCTTTTTTCCCCCCCCTTTTTTCCCCCCCCTTTTTTCCCCCCCCTTTTTTCCCCCCCCTTTTCCCCCCCCTTCCCCCCCCCTTTTCCCCCCCCTTTTTCCCCCCCCTTTTTCCCCCCCCTTTTCCCCCGCCGATTTCCCTCCCCTTTTCTCCCCCCCCTTTTCTCCCTCCCCTTTTCTCCCTCCCCTTTTCTCCCTCCCCTTTTCTCCCTCCCCTTTTCTCCCCCCCCTTTTCTCCCCCCCTTTTCTCCCCCCCTTTTCTCCCCCCCTTTTCTCCCCCCCTTTTTTTCTCTCCCTCCCCTTTTTTTCCCCCTCCCCTTTTTTCCCCCTCCCCTTTTTTCCCCCCTTTTTTTCTCCCCCCCTTTTCTCCCCCCCTTTTTTCTCCCCCCCTTTTTTTCTCCCCCCCTTTTTTTCTCCCCCTCCCCTTTTTTTCTCCCCCTCCCCTTTTTTTCTCCCCCTCCCCTTTTTTTCTCCCCCTCCCCTTTTTCTCCCCCTCCCCTTTTTCTCCCCCTCCCCTTTTTCTCCCCCTCCCCTTTTTCTTCCCCCCCTTTTTCTTCCCCCCCTTTTTTTCTCCCCCCCTTTTCTCTCCCCCCCTTTTTTCTTCCCCCCCCTTTTTTCTTCCCCCCCTTTTTTCTTTCCCCCCCTTTTTTCTTTCCCCCCCCTTTTTTCTTCCCCCCCTTTTTTCTTTCCCCTCCTTTTTTTCTTTCCCCCCCTTTTTTTCTTTCCCCCCCTTTTTTTCTTTCCCCCCCTTTTTTTCTTTCCCCCCCTTTTTTTCTTTCCCCCCCTTTTTTTCTTTCCCCCCCTTTTTTTCTTTCCCCCCCTTTTTTCTTCCCCCCCTTATATTTCCCTCCCCCCTATATTTTTTTGAGCTGAAGGTAAGATGCTAATCGTTGGTTTATGGCAGCAGCAAGTCAAAGCATCTTCCCGTGGCTGCAGGGAGCAGAGGAGCTGCCATGGGAGGTTTTGTCCCTGCTTTTATCACCCCTTTCTGACCATGGTGGAGCATGGCCTGTGGCTTAAAACTGCTCTCTCAGTTCTCCCTTCTTCTTAAATCCTGTTTTAGAATAAAGCACACGTGGGTTTGGATTTTATTATTTTATTTTTACTTTTATTTCCTCTTCTTACAAGCGATTTGTGTGAAATCCCCACTGTGTCACTGGGTGGACACCTCCCCGGACCCCCCCCGGACCTTCAAACCTTCTCCAGCGATCACATGGTGGCAAGGTGAGACCCCTCAAAACCCTCCCCAGCTTTTCTCTTCCCTCCCTCCCTTTCCCCTCCCGTGAGCCTCCGGGAGGGATCTGCGACATGAAGTTTCCATTTGGAGCTGGCAAATTCCTGGTATGCCGATTTCTAGGAAACGTGGCTCAGGATCGTGTGCTGGGTGAAACCCTAGCATGTGTGATACCTGTCTGTCCTCAGCCTGGGGTTGCACATCTGCATCCCATTCTCTGCTCTGAATTTTCTCCTGTTTCTCTGGGCTGGAAGATAGCAACATCTGCATGGAGGAGGGATTGTAAAAATAAATGGCTTGGGTTTATAGCGTGGATTTCTGTGCAGCATGTGCCGGTGTTGTACAGCGTGCATCCTCCTGGAGGAAAGTTTTTGTCTCTTGAAAGGTGTGTGCCAAGGGGAGAGGGCTTCCAGATGCGCCCGTTGCATTTCTGCAAGTGCCCGTGCAGTGCCCTGGCATTGCTGGCAGGCAGCCTGCAAAACGTGCAGCACTTGGAGGAGGATGAAGGTGGGGAAGACACCAGCTTAAAAAGAAAAAAGAACCTTTTGTCTTACTTGCTTTTAAAAAAAATAGACAAAAAAATCATGGAATGTATTCTTCTGGAGCAGCGGCTGAATTAAGGTCTGACTGTATGGGAGTGCTAAAACGGGGGACAAAGCGGGATACCCCTGCCTGGGCACCCTGTGCCCGCTACAGGCCGCTTAATTGCTCATGGGCATTAATTGCAGCTTAATTGCTCGTGGAGATCCACTGCAGCTTAATTGCACATGGGCATCATTTGCTCGTGAGCATCGATCGCTGTGATGCCTCTCTCCCTTTGGAGGAGGGAAAAATATTATTTGCAACTGCTGGTGCCAGCGTGCAGGACGGCGTTTGGGGAAACGGCAGATTTGCAAGAAGGAAGGATGCAGCCATTGTTGCTTTTGAGTAATTCAAGGAGTTTATATTAATTTAGCAGGGCTGAGAGCAGGCGTGTGCCGGCACTGCGGGTTGGGACGTGCTGGTCCGAGTGAAGCACGCGTCGTGCACGTGTAGGAGTCTCCTGAACTCACGAGCCTCCTTGTTTGCTCAGCTAGAAGCTCTTTAATATATTTTGTATTAATTAACACCGAAAGAGTTGCGCCTGAAGGATTGATTTTCTCCAGATGTCGAAACCTCTGGATTTTGAAGCTTGTTTATTATAGCTCTTAAATTACAGATGAAACAGCTATGCTGAATTTTCAGATCATCCGGTAGAGCGGGGACTGATTAAAAGCAAACAAGTGGAAACCCCAAACCCTTCCCTTTAGCAGCGAGGAATGACTTTGCCCTTTCGCAGGGGCTGGGGAGGGTGAAGGTGGCAGCTCAGGGCCAGCCCCGAGCGCCTGGGTGGTGGCTGGAGGCATGGACCAGACCCCGGCATCGGGCTTGGAGCTCGAGCAGGGGTGTTTTGGGGGGCTTACAGGCTCCTGCAAGGGTCTCTGCTTCAGAATTGGAGGAATCAAGCTGTGCAAAACTGCCGCCAAACATGCAAAACCGCCCCGTCATCCGTGTGCACCTTTCCTGGGGCGTGCTCTGGATTTCTTTAATCACCTTCCCATTGCTTTTATTCTCTGTGCATGGAGATCCCTTCCCTCTCGTGGCCTTTCATCAATGCCCTTCTGCTTTGCTGAAGTGCTGCACCCCTCAGTGGAGGAGGGCCCCCCAGCCCAGGGGGTTCAACCCTTCCCCACCCACTCTCCACCTCCCACCCATCCCAGGGAAAGGAAGCAGCGTGGGTGTTTGGAGGAGGGAGGATGGTTTAGCCTGCCTTCACTTACAGACTGACAGCAACGGGAGAGCAGGGTCTGCTTGGGGAGTCGACAACACCCAGGGGCTTTTGCATGGGGTAATTAATTAATCCCCTCCCTGTATCCAGAGCACACGTGGTCCTGCAATGAGAAAACTGAGGCTCTGGCACCTCCAGCAAGCTTGCACGGCTCTCGGCGACAGTCCCCGGCTCCCTGGTATTTAAATCTCGGAGAGTAGCAGTTGATTTTTTTTTTTTCCTACAACTGTTTGTGTCAAATTAATTGGGATTTTGGACCTCAGCCAGCCTCCTTCTGTCGCTCCAAACCAGAGATAAGCGGGAGCGGCGCGGTCTTTTCTCTAACCTAGTTGGAGCCGTTTTTGCTGGATGGAGAAGTCTCAAGCTCTTTCATAATGTGGACCACATCTTAATAGCCAGTCTTGTGGGCTCCATCCCTCCCACTGCTTCTGACGCAGAGCGTCTCCCCTCCTGCTCGCCTTGGCCAGCTTCCCTGGATGACTCCACTAATTGCTTACGTAGAAAAATAATGAGAAGGATGCGTATGATGTATTTTTAGATGTATCTTGGTGGGATTTAGCAACCGGCGAGCCACAGCCAGCACCTCCCCATCCGTCCTCTGCATCCCAGTGGTGGTTGCTTGGTGGCCCTCAGGAGGTTTTGCCACAGGAGGTGGCTCTTCTTTTGCCAGCTGCTCCCCTTTTTTTCGGGCTCCTCCTGGTCCTTAATAAATAGGTTATGGATGCTGTGTCCCCGGTGCTGCACAGGATCTGTGCCGGGAAGCCCTGAGCCGGTGTGCAGTGCCACGGTGGGCACCACCACCTCCTTGCACACCTCCAAAAGGGTGGCCGCGGTGGTGGCAGGGCAGCAGGGACCGCGGTGGCTTGGAGACCATCTCAGTGCCCGAGTCGTAGAATGGTTTGGGTTGGAAGGGACCTTTAAAAGTCATCTAGTCCAAGCCCCCTGCCATGAGCAGGGACACCTTCAGAGAGATCAGGTTGCTCAGAGCCCCGTCCAACCTGACCGTGAATGTCTCCAGTGATGGGGCATCCACCACCTCTCTGGGCGACACGTTCCAGTGTTTCACCACCCTCATCGTAACAAATTTCTTCCGAAGTAACTGATGGCATGTTTTGCAGTGTATAAACACCCACAAGATGATGAGTCTCACCATCAAAGCTGCTTTTTTTTTTTTTTTGGTGTTTTTTAAGGTGTTCCCCTCTGAAATGTCAGCAGAGCAGGGGAAAGGGAGCAGACACAAAATCTCGTTAAATATTACCCCAAAGACTGTGATGATTGAGCATTGCAGCAAGTAGTTCCCTTATTTTTCTGTTTGCTTCTTCCATTGCAGGGCTCTTTGTGTCTCGGTGGCTTCCTGTGCCGGGGGGGGCCGGGCTCCAGCTCTTCCCTTTCCACCCGGGTGTGAGGAACGCAATTCTTCTTGCAGCACGACTTATCTGCCCTTGGAGCTGAAAACATCCTTTCTTTTCTCTTTTTGAATCCCCCGAATGAATGATTTCTCCTGCTGGTTAACATCAGCTTCCACACCAAAGACTGTGGGAAAAGTTTCGCAACTGGAGTGACTTTAATAGATCTGGTTTATGTCTTAAAAAACCCATCGCTTTCTAATTCTCCGTCACATGTTTCCTTGATTACGTGTCACACAGCAGTGTGGCTACCAAAATAGCCTTATGGTCTGAAGGAAATCATCAGGAAATATGTTTTTCAAACCATAGGCAATTCTCTTTTCACCGGGCACCATTAGAAAAAGGCTGTGTTTGACGAAAAATGTGGCTTTTCTGGCACCTCGTCTGATCGTGTGGTGACGTTGGGAGCGTGGTGCTCCAGCAGTTTGCCCAAAACCTTCCAATTTCTTTGAATCTTGCTGAGAATTTTCTCTTTTTCCAGCCAAATAGTTGGGATTCTTTTGGTGTTGGGTTTACTTTAGTGTTTGGAGAAGATGCTTGGTGTGTGTTCAGGTCTTTCCATGCAGGGTGATGCTTTGCTTGCCCGAGACTTGGAGCCTGCTCTCTTTTTTTGGAGTGTTCTTGGTGGGCAGGAGAAAGCGAGGTTTGCCTGGGGTTGAGGTGCTGCTTCCCTAATAATGGAGTCTCTGACAAATAGATAATTCCACGTGGAAAATAATCTTGAACTGTATAAAATAACTCAAAAGGCAAAGGCTAGTGTGGTGTGCGTAGTTTCTAGCACCTGTACCCCCGGGATGCCCACCTCCATGTGAGCCAGAAGGGACGGGTGAAGCTTGGTGGCCATCAGCCCTTTGCTTCTCGCCCACGAGCACTTTCATCTCTCCTGGCTTCCCCGTGGCCCTCGATGTCTGCTGATGTGGGTGCTCCAGCATTAGTCCCGGGTCAAACTGGGTGCTCGGCAGAGCAGCGCCGCAGAAGAGCCCCCTGATTGGGGTGCAGCACCCCGAGATGGGTTTCCACGTTCTGCCTGGTCGCAGGAGCCGGCCTGCTGGCGTGTGCGTTACCTGCCGGTGCTTTTTTTTTTTTTGGGGGGGGGTAAAACTCTTGCCGGAGGGGAGCCTCCCCAGGGGTGCAGCGTTGACCTAGGGAGGCTGAAGCTGAAGGCTGGGGACCTCGGGGAGCATCCCCGTCGCTGCGGCCGGGGGAAGCGGAGGGGCTGTCCCCTGGCCCCGTCACACATCGGGGTTTCCTGCGCCCTGTGGTTCAGCGGAGCCTGGGTGGCCCCTGGGAAGGGATTTTCCGCTCTGCACACTCGAGATGTGCTCGAAGCTTCCTGCCCCGGGCCCCGAAGCAGAGCGAGCTGCTTATTTTCTTTAACCCTTTCCTCTTACACCACCTCCCGTGGTCCTGACGGGGTGTGTGCCGTGTCTCCCCAGGTCCGGGGCTTATGCGAGGAGACCATGACCACTGATGAGGGCACCAAGAGCGAAGGGGAGGTGCAGGCAGCGGCGGCTCTCGCCGAGCGCGGGGAGGACATCACGCCGGCTCGAGACCGAGGGGTCCTGAAGGTGAGGAGGGGGGGCTGCCAGGAGGGTCCTGCCCTTCCTTCTGCATTTTGGGGTGCACGCTCGGTCACATCGGTGGGCTGCATCCCCAGCCCTTGGGGTCATGTAGTACTTCCAGGGCTGTAGGGCTGATTTTTTTTTTTTTTTTTTTTTTATTTGAAAGGCAAAGGAGATGAGCTTCACTTGGAATAAAGAAGGATGGATTGGTGTTTGAGACTGATGGGTTCAGGCTGCTCAATGAATTTCACTGCTATTGTGTTCCTAATCAGATTATTAGCTGTAAATCCACAAAGCATTTTTGTGTGTGACTCACAGACATTAGAAAGAACACATTACTGAGGTCATCCAGTCTGCTCCACAACCCCTTTTTCATATTCAGGGCCGTTTCTGGATAGTTCTGCTCCCCAGCGCTTGCTCTTCTCCAGTTGAATAGGACCTTTCCTCTAAGAATAGCATCCTCCCCTGCTCCATCCTCAGCTCAAGAACTGCTTGTTCCAGGCTGTAGCATTCAAAAAAAAAAAAAAAAAAAAGAAAAAAAGAAAAGAAGTGTTGACAAGAAGCAAGTAGTGAAATGACACACCCCTGTGAGTAAAATGTGTGTAGACAGAAAGCGAGTGTAATTTCATTTGCTTCAGGTTTTGAACCGCAGTATTTATCCAGACACCTCCACGAAGTACAGGCAGGCCTCTGCTCCCTCACCATGGCTCTGGTTTGGGATTTATTTTTAGGGGCTGATGGGAGGACAAATTGAATGACTTCCCCTCGAGCCTTGCTTTGCTTAAGAGCAGCACTGGGCTGTATATGCATGTGTGTGTATATATATATTTTTATATATATGCATGCATGTGTATATATATATATGTATATGCATGCGTGTGTGTGCGTGTATATAAAAATGTGTGTGTATATAAAATTGTGTGTGTGTATCTATTAAAATGCATGTGCCTGTGTATATATATATATATATATATATATATGTATATCTCTCTATATGCATCCTTAGCTGTCCCATGGCCTCCCTTCTCATGGGTGGTTTCTCTCTCTCAGATCATTAAACGACCCGGGAGCGAAGATGAGTCCCCCATGATCGGGGACAAGGTTTATGTCCACTACAAAGGCAAACTGGCCAACGGTAAAAAATTTGACTCCAGCCGCGATCGGAACGAGCCCTTTGTCTTCAGCCTGGGCAAGGGTGAGCTGCTCCGGGGCGTCTGTCGGTGGGGGTGCTCGAGGTGATCCTTGGCGGGTGGGACCCTGTTGCAGGACACATGGACGGTGTCAGCCCTGCCTTAAAGTGATTTCTGATGGTGTTTTTTTTGGGGGATGCCATCCTCAGAGCACCCGGGCTGGGGTTTTTTGGGGGTTGCCGGTTGCTCCCTCCTGCCTGACATCTGCCTCTCCCCTAGGTCAGGTAATCAAGGCGTGGGACATCGGGGTGGCTACCATGAAGAAGGGAGAGATCTGCTACTTGCTCTGCAAACCCGAGTACGCATACGGCTCTGCTGGCAGTGCCCCCAAAATCCCCTCCAACGCCACCCTCTTTTTTGAGGCAAGTAATGCCGGCGAGCCGGCGCGTGGATGAGCCCTCTCGCTCCCTTTCTGCCTTGCCAGCCAGCTCAGAAATAAAAAAAAAAAACAAAAAAAAAAACCAACCCAACACAAAAACCAGCTTGGATTCCTGAAACGTGTCCCTCTGCTCCAGGAACCGCTGCCAGGGTTTTCTCAGAAATGTGTGTCTGAGCTGGGAGGCTGGGACTGAACCTCTGGCTGGGGAGAGCCCCGGTGCCAGAGGGGGGGGAGCGGGCAAATTCCGGGTTTAAAAATGCACATGGGAAGGAGAAAGCAGCTGGGAAATGCCTATGGGTGCTAAAAACTGATTAGTGCTGTGGGGCGGTAGGAAAGTCAAGGTTTTGGCACGGTGTGCTCGCTGGGCAGGGCTCGTCAGGACAAGGCGGTGGGGTGGGAGGAATGGGTCTGTCCTAAATTAAGGGTTAGTCCTTCCAAGTTGAGTGGGGACTAAATCGTGGGTCGGAGCTGGTCCCATTGGAGAATGAAGGGGAAACTCCTGCCCACGCTGGTCCCGGGCAGTTTTCACAGCATCTTCCAGCACCAGCCGTGTTGTACCCTTACAGGCTTAATAAACTTATTTTTACTGTTACACTTCAGGTACTGGATGTGTCCCAATTTCTAATAAATCGGGTGTATTATGCTGTGGCTTGGAGCTGGCTTTTATGGGCAACTTCTGCTCGTCAGCTGAATGGAGAATTAGCTGGCTTGGCTCTCCAGCCAGAGGATGAACTGCTGCTTTGTGGCTTTTCTGTTGTTTTTCTCTTCTCCTTCCCCCCGCCTCCCCGAGCTCTGCCCACCTTTTCTTTATTATTTTATTTTTTAGGTCGAGCTGCTTGACTTCAAAGGCGAGGACCTGTTTGAAGATGGAGGGATAATCCGGCGGATCAAGAGGAAGGGAGAAGGTTATTCCAACCCTAACGAAGGTGCTACAGTGGAAAGTGAGTGCTGGTCCCTGGGTGGGGGGGGGGCTGGAGGGCAGCCCCCGCTTGCTTCTCCCTAGCAAGGAGCTGCTGGCACCGTATGGGTTGAAGGTGGCTGCGCATCGCGGCGGGATGCGGTTCCATCCATCCGGAGGCCGGAGGGGACGGCGAGGGGCTGGGAGAGCAGCGGTTTGCTGCCCGCCCGGGGAGGCTGCTCCGAGCTCCCCTTTGGCACGGCCCCGGCGGCGGCTCTGCCAGCGCTGCTGGCCGGGGAGGGTTGGTTGGAAAACCTCAGGCGACGAGGGAGCGACCGCTCGAATATAACCTGCGCTCTGTTTTCTTCGCCGTGTTGACAAAACGCATCCCGGTGAGCCCCGGAGCGGCTCCGCCGGCGGCCGGGGCGGGGAGGATGGAGGAAGCAAACCCCCGCAGGGTTTTGGGGCTCTGCCGTCTCCCCCAACCCTTTTGCATCCCTCGCAGTGTCCAAGCTGCTCCGGGATGTGCCGGCTGCCGAAAACCCCGGCTCTGCCTTGCCTCGAAAGCGTCAGTAACCGGGACATCCTTCCTCGATGGCATCCCTCGCTGAGCGTGTCGGGCACCGACACAGGCGCTCAGCAGCTTCTTTGGCCTCCTTGTTCCAACGCTGATCGTCGTTTCGGTGGGTTTTATCGCACCTCTTGCAGAATGGAGCCTTTTTTTTTTCCTTCCCCTGTGGCCAGAGGGCTGCTGCTGGAGGCGGGGGAAGGAAATTAATGCAAGGGGTTTGCCGAGGCCGGGGTTGTCTCAGCTGACATGGGAGGAACAGGAGCTCAGGTCCCGTCAGGCTCTCCCTGTTCTGATTGCATTTCTGGAGCGTACATTTCACAGGGCTGGACAGGGGAATCCAGGCTCGTTTTATTTTTTTTTCCTTCCCAAGAGCTATTCGGCCACAGACACTGAGCTCACTCCGTACGGGAGGCATTTACTTTCTTTTCTCTTTCAGAGCTCCCGTACACAAAGATAAACTCCCTTTAGCGAAGAAGAAATTGGATCTGAGCTGTGACAGCTCATAGAGCTCGCCGCCTTAAATGTCTGGTTCTTCTAACAAGTTTTTCTTTTAAGGAAAAATGAGTTTTTGACTCAGATTCGACTGTCTGCCTCTCCCGTGGTGAGCATCCTAGCTGGGGGCCAGCCGCGAGCCGAGCTTCAAGCTGGCTCTACTACCCCAAAGATTAAACTCAGAGACTAAATATAATTGAAGTCATCGCAGATCCACCATTCCTCTTTATTTTGATTAGGTCTGAGCGTTTTACAGGCAGGGTCGTGCCCAGTGTGGAGGACAGGAAGAGCCCTGGTCCCTCTATGATTGTTCCCTTTGCAGCTTGAGGTTTTCTGGAATGTGACGATGCTTTAATGTCTCTGGAGGGGACTGAGACAGGGAGCGGGGGGCCCCAGCCAGGAATCATCTCTCTGAAAGGACTTAAAGAGCCAAATAATGAGGCTCCTCGCACACCTGATGCCCCACGGCCTGTTAGCTCTGCTTTACCTCTTTCAAATGAACGTGTCCATCGGAGCAAACACTCACGAGCGGGAGCGCGTGTGTGGTCGTGGTCGTGGAGAGGGATGCCCAGTCGGGCTGTCCCGCGGAGCCGGCGCTGCCTGCGCGGGGCAGAGACCGGGAATTCCACACTGATCCCGCCGGCAGCCTGCCTGCCGTGCCAGCCGCTCCCTTCCCAGCTCCCAGCGCCCTTAATCCATTTGCATCTCTACGTCCCTATACATCTGGGGCTGGAGACCCTTAAATACATCCCAGTGGGAGAGAACAAGGAGAAGCAGCACCAGGCAGCTTTGCAGTGAGAACTTTGGATGCAAATATGCTCTTTTTTTTTTTTTTTTTTTTTTTTTTTTTTTAAATTAACAAATGCAGTGCTATTTACGGTGGGCACTGTGTTGGGGACAGCACGGCAGCTGTGGGGATGGCTTGGCAGTCCTCCCTGGGGCAAGGCTGTGACCCAGGGGGGCAGCGATGGTTTATCTCAGCCATGTATTTGGGAGGTGCATTGTGTCTGGGAGAAGCCGTTCTTCCAGGAGCAAGCATCTCCAGTCTGGACTTCTGAAAGCATTGTTATAGGGTTTAAGTTTTACAGACCCTAATTTGCAGTTCCGGTCCCTAAAACCCAGGCTGCAGTCGAAATCTGGCATTCCAGCTTTTGTTACAACCTTTCCCCCCACCCCTCCTCCTTCTCCATTTTTAATCTGAGTACAAATTGCTGTCAGCACATCAAGTTCGTGTGCCAGCCGCACTCGGTACACTCTGTTCTCAGCTCTTCAAAAACAAAATCGCTGCAGGCACCGAGAGAACAATAAGTCAGAGCTGCAACCGGAGTGATGTTCCTTCAGCAGCTTTTTTTTCCCTGTAATCCAAGAGCGACTGCAGCCAGCTGACCTGCTCCTGGAAACCCGAGCGGAGATTTTTTTCCCCCCGCTTTGCCCAGTGTATTTTATGTGCAATTAAAATAGAGCAAAACTGTCCTGGAAGGGAAGGAGCGCAGCATCCTCCTGTGCATCCTGTTTTAAAGCGGGATCTTCCCCTCACTGCCGCATCCCACTGGGGACAGGGGACCTGGGAGAACCGTAGTGCTGCTTTTGGGGTCAGGGATTATCGATCCGTACTCATTGGGAACATGCAGGGAGAGGGCAGGGTGCTGTGGGGTTGCTGGATTACCCGTATTTTAGGCTGAATTTTCCACTTTCTCATGCCTAAGAAAGTAGCCACCGTGGTTTTGGGTAGTGCAAAAGCGGAGATCAGCCCCGGAGGAGCTGGATTTGCCTTTCGCCCTCGTCCCGAGCCGGGTGAGCACACGCCAGCCTGAGCCTCGTGGCCGCTGCGCACCAGGGATGGATGCAGGATGTGTCCCGGGGTGCTGGCGAGCACATGAGCATCCTCCACTCTGCTGCACTTGAGTCCCAGCGTGGCTTTGGTGGCAGGAGGGGGGTGACGAGGAGGGGGTCTGCCTGCGGGGCTCAGTCCCTGCGTCTCTTACCGGGGACTTTTCCCAGGGCAGGGCAGTGTCCGTGGGGCAGAGCCGGGCAGGTTTCCTTCTGCCCAGGCTGCAGATCTCCCGTACACAGCCCAGACCCTCTCGGCTGTGTCCGGCACAGCATCTGCTTGCATTTGCCTCCTGCCACCCGGGTCGAGGTGCTCGGTGCCCTGTGGTAGCTGGGGTCCCATCCTGCGGCCCCGTGCGGTGCTGGAGGGGCTCTGAGAGCAGCCCCCAGGGTTGTTTTCTTTCCAAGCATCCCTCCTCTCCCCGCTTCAGCAGCGCTCACACGGGCAATGTCTCCTCTCTCTACCCTGCAGCAAGCAAGACTAAAGCTTGTGTCCTTCCAGGCTGCAAAGTCCTTAAGCACAACTGTGATGCCTACCATGAATTTTTCCTCTTAAAATCTATTTTTGTTTGTTGTGGCTTTTTTTTTTTCAATGGTACATAGGGTTTCCTTATGAAATTGCTTTTACTTCATACCTGCCTGCACGTGTATGCCTTGTACCCTGCAAACAGAGTGCGGAGAACATAAAACTGTCCCCAAAGCTCGGAATGTCTTCAGGATCAAATAAATAAAGAATAATCTTGCTGCGGAAACCCAGCCAGGAGTACCAGGTGGCGAATGTGCCAGGTACCCAGTGTCCGCTCGGGCTGCGCTTCTGCCAATGTCTGGGGCTGGAACAGCGTGGTTATTGGTTGAAGATTAAAAAAAAAAAAAAAAAAATTAAAAATAAATGTTTATCTTGTACTTTGAGTTCTTAGAGGCAGGAGAACATAGCCTTGTTTTTGAGGTAGAAGGCAAGGCAGTATAGCACTGTATAGAAGATTTGTAATCGCCGTGATAAACTCTGCATGGCGGCGTGCCAGGAGCAATATCCAGTTCCAGTAAGACTTGACTCGTGCAGTTGAGTACGAGGGGAACATATTAGTCACGATGTTTATCTGTTGTCTGGTCCTTGGTTAGAGGAGATATGCCTGCCTTGCTTTTCAGCAATATTTCCCAGCCTTCTGCATCCCTCTCTGCTCACCAGGGGCTCCTTGGCTGCCCCCAGCCCTGTGTCGTCCCTGTTCCAGGGCCGGAGGTTTTGCTGGATTTGGGGAGATACGCTTTATAAGATGCTTTGGAGCCCTGCTCTGCCTTGGTTTGGGCGGCTCCGGGTGCGATCCTGCCTGTCCCCTCTTGCCCCGCTGCAGTTCACCTGGAGGGTTTCTGCGGTGGCACCAGGTTCGACTGCAAAGACGTGAAGTTCGTCGTGGGCGAAGGGGAGGACCACGACATCCCCATCGGCATCGACAAAGCCCTGGAGAAGATGCAGAGGGGAGAGCACTGCGTCCTCTACCTCGGGCCACGGTAAGGAGCATCCCCACGGGGATGCCGTCTAGTTTTAAGCTTCTGGCATCCAAGGTTGTTTTAGCACCTGTGGGAGATAGTGATCCCGAAAATAGGGCTCTCCAGGAGAGCCTCGGCTTAATAATGCCGCCAGGGATGGCTAGAGTGACCACATGCAGGCAGGAATCTCGAGATGCTTTAAAAAAATCAGATAAAAGGGGTTTATTTGAGTCCTGGGGCTGAGTGGAAAATGTCTCGCTGGAAATGTCTCCTTACACTGGAGAGAAACCTGTATAAAAAGACAGATTTGATGCACCCAGAGAGGATGATTCCCAATATATAATTCATTGTATATTGTCAGATATCTTTGCTTGTGGAGAATAGCATCACCCTGGCCCCAAAACATTAGAAAGCTGCGGGCGTGGAGCCGGGTGTGAAACCAGAATTAGTAACCTGGGTCTGTGTTTATGGCCAAATGCTGCTGAAATGAAGATTTTTCAGCCCCCACTCTTCTGACAGCTCCTTCCTGCCCTCGCAGGTACGGCTTTGGCGAGGCGGGGAAGCCGAAATACGGCATCCAGGCGAACGCGGAGCTGGTGTACGAGGTTACACTGAAAAGCTTTGAAAAGGTGAGGGCAGGAGCGTGCGGGTCCCTCCCCAGGTTACGGGAATGCCGGTCCCTCGGCAGCGTCCACCCTTTGTCCCTGGCTGCGGCCCGGCCCCTGCTGAAGTGGATACGTCACCAAGGATCTTGGTGTTCTTAATTTGTTCTTCTCTGTTGGTTTGTTTTATTTTTCTGGCTGGGCTCCAAGGCTGGTTCTTTTATTTGTTCGTGGCCTTGTTCCTTTTGTACTTTCTTTTTTTCTTCCTTTTCTTTTTCCCTTTTTTTTTTCTTTTTTTCCCTTCTTTCTTCTCTCCTTTTTTTTTCCCTTCTTTTTTTTCCCCTTTTTCCCCTCTTTCCCCCCCCCCTTTTTTCCCTTCTTCTTTCCCTTCTTTTTTCCCTTCTTTTTTCCCTTCTTTTTTTCCCTTCTTTTTTTCCCTTCTTTTTTTCCCTTCTTTTTTTCCCTTCTTTTTTCCCTTCTTTTTTTCCCTTCATTTCCTTCATTTTTCCCTTCTGTTTTCTTTTTTTTCTTTTTCCCTTTTTTTCTGTTTTCCCTTTTTTCTTTTCATTTTTCCCTTCTTTTCCCTTCTTTTTTTCCCTTCTTTTTTCCTTTCTTTTTCTTTTTTTTTCTTTTTTCCCTTTTTTCTTTTATTTTTTTCCCTTCTTTTATTCCCTTTTCCCTTCTTTTTTTCTTTTTTTCCTTTTTTTTTTTTTTTTTTTTTTGTTTTGTTTTGTTTTTTTTGTTTGTTTTTTTCCTTTTTTTTCGTTTCCCCTGGGCTGCACAGATAAGAGTCAATGTGTCCAGCCCCAAGGAGCTTGGCTGGTGTGCCGAGCTGGATGTGGCCGTGCAGATGCTGGATGGGAAGCAGGAGATGCCCCTGGGATGGGGCAGGTGCTGCTGTACCACATCCCCGGCCGGGTCCCCTCCCCACCCCATCACCCTGACCGCAGCAGGAGCGAGACCCACCGCATCCCCTCTCTGCTGGGGGATGTCTCTCCCCACTCACCTCTTCCCTTTTTGGAGTTTATTTTTTGTCAGGGTTTTTCCTCCTGTGGGGTTGTGGTGAACAAACCACCTTGCTCCGGGTGAAGTGCCGAACCTGGCAGGAGTTTCTCTGTTGTAAAGGGCTCCAGGTCCGCACCCCAACATGTGCTCTGGGTGTCTCCTCGTCCCCAGCCCCTCACATTAAAGAAGCTGCCAGATCCTCCCTCTGTAATACGGCCGTGATGAGCCCCGCTCGCTAACGAGCAATCCTCGGAGGGCCCTGCCGGAGCGGTGGGCTGCCCTGCTCCGCTGGGACTGCTCCGAGCGTTTATTTGCAGGCCAAGGAGTCGTGGGAGATGGACACCAAGGAGAAGCTGGAGCAAGCCGCCATCGTCAAGGAGAAAGGCACGATGTACTTCAAGGTTTGTAAGCTTAGGGATGGCGGAGTGGGGAGCAAGGGAGCTGGAGATAAATTGGGGGTGCCCGTCAGATGCACGATCAGTGTCAGGGAAGCTGTGTGTCCCCCAGGCAGCGCTGGGGAGGGCGAGTCCTGCCCTTCCTCTGCCTTTTTCTCACTCCTGGAGATAACCTCGTCCTTTCCTGGCGTTGCCTTGCCCTCGTGGGGAGTGGGACGGCAGATCGGACTCTCCCCAGGGGTGGATGTGGCCAGGGCTAATGCCGAGGGGCTTCACGGTTCCCCTTCCCGGGCTGGGGCATCCCGGCCCTCCTCTGCTCTGCACAGAGGAGGAACACAAGCTGGGACTTGGCTTTTCACAGGGGCTGCACACCAGCAGCTCCAGGCCAGCCCCAGTGTGTTTGTAGGGATTCACCATCCTCCGTCGGTCATTTATTTATTTCACACACTGCGTTAAACCCCTAACCTGTTTGCAGGATGTTTCGGGAGCAGACCGAGCATTGTCGGCACGGGTTCCTCTAGCCTCTTCTTCTTTGCTCCATCCCAGGAAGGCAAATACCTGCAGGCAGTGATTCAGTATGGGAAGATTGTGTCCTGGCTGGAAATGGAGTACGGCTTGTCTGAGAAAGAGTCGAAAGCCTCCGACTCCTTCCTTCTGGCTGCCTTCCTCAACCTGGCCATGTGCTACCTGAAGCTGCGAGAGTACGCCAAAGCTGTCGAGTGCTGTGATAAGGTAGAGGTGTATGAGCCCGGGGGTTGGAGCATCCTCTCCTCTTGAATGTTTTCCCTGAGAGTTTGGAAGTTTTTGGACTTCTTTTTCTATAAAAAGCAATTTCCAAGCGGCAGTGGGGTGGTGGCATCCCTTCTGCACCTCAGGGTCTCCACGGATGCTGTGTGCTTGGGGCAAAAGTGCTTTTTGGAGTTCAAAATCCACCTGGGTATGTGCTGACAACAGCTTTTCTTCCAAAGCCAGATCCACGTGGATGGATGCTGTGTGGACCGACAGCCTTAGGATGCTGTTTGGGTCTGCCCAGGCTGGATCTGGGTGTTGGGTGCTGATCTGGGTATGACAGAGGCAGTCTGTGCCGGGGCTGCAGCTGATCTCCAAGTATGTTGAGGAGTGGGATGGAGCTTTGCCAGTCCCCAAAAGAGCTGCAACCTAGTCTTTGTCAGGATACTATTAATTCTTTTATAAAAGGCTTAAATTTAAGCATCTTGCATGTGGGAAAAAGAGTAAAGCTTGTTGCCTTAATCTAAAAGGTAAATAATCTCTAAGATGCATATGTGGCTTTTTCTAAAGGAAAATAATGTCACTGTTAAAGCAGGGAGACCAAAGCACGTTTAATCCATTAACTCCCTTGCCTCTGACCTCCCTGTGCCCTCTGGGCTCAGGTTTAGCTTTTATACCTGATTTCTTGTCTGTGGGTTTGTTTCCCACCGACTGCCACTCTCAGGGGGATTTTAAGCAATGAGAAATAACTAAACTCTGTTAATGACTTGCCAGCTGCTGATGGAGACAAGTCAATTTATGTTGAGCAAGATGCACGTGCTCTAGAGACTTGAAACCACCTTGTCCTAATTTCAGCAGATTTAATGAGGCTTTGACCATAGGGGGATCTTTTGGGGGAGCCCCAGGTTGCTAATGGTGACCTGTGTGTTTCCAGGCTCTAGGACTGGACCAGGACAACGAGAAGGGCTTGTACCGGAGGGGCGAAGCCAGGTTATTGATGAATGAGTTCGAGCTGGCAAAATGTGACTTTCAAAAAGTTCTGGAAGTAAATCCACAGAACAAGGCAGCGAAATCCCAGATCTCTGTCTGCCAGAAGAAAACGAAGGAACACAACGAGCGGGACCGGAGGATCTACGCCAACATGTTCACAAAGTTTGCGGAGAGGGATGCAAAGGTGTGTGTTACTTGGGGTTTTGCCATCTTAGCAGGCTGTGCTGAAGGATGCTTGGCAGGTTTGTGATGAGAAGAGATGGGTTAAAACCAATTAAATTATAGATCAGGTTGAGGATGGAAGGATAGAGCCTGTTGCAGTGGGAAGTAGTTTATTTCTTGGTCTCTTACGCAGAGGCTGCCATCAGATGCTCAGTCATCAATAAAAGTATTTGCAGTTTGAGCTCCCGAGAGCTGATAACTGGGTTGGCATTTGTACTTAATTTTGCTGTTCCCAGCTAGTGACTGTTGATGACCTCCTGGTCACCGCTAAAATGAAATGTCATCCTGTTTCTGGCAAGGCCAAGGGTATTTTGAGACATGATAGTATGGATTTCCTGAAGCTGGTAAGGCAATAGCCCGCTCCTCTGCTCGTACGGAGAGATCGCTGTCTCCAACAGGCTCTTGTCCAAAATTCCTCTGAACAAAACCCGGTGTCCTGTAACGAGAGAGGACACAGCTTTGCAAGCCGTCTGCACGGGTCATTTTTAGTATAATCTCTTCTGAACTGGTGCCTGGAGGAGGTTGAGGCTGTGGAATGAGTGACCGGTGCAGATCTGGGGAGCAGCGTGCCGGGGTGACCGGCTCGGGGCAGGGAGCGGGGCCGCCCGCCCGGCTGCTGGCACCGAGGTGGGTTGGCTCGTGGCACGGCTGTGACGGGGACAGTCGCTGCTGGCACTTTACCGTGAGGCTTCACCGAGCCTCGGGGCTGCTCTCCAGCACCCACGGCCGGGTGCGTGGGCTTGCACCTATGGCTCAGTCCCGTATCTCCTTGTCCCTCTCCGTCCCCGCATCCATCCATCCATCCATCCATCCATCCATCCATCCATCCATCCATCCATCCATCCATCCAGGCTGGCTCTGTCAGTGCCCTGCTCCCGTCACATCATTCCCAGGGGATCCCGTCCCTTCCCAACAGCTCGCTGAGCCCGTGAGGTTTAACCTCCATCAGCTGCTGAGCCAAAAAAACAGGAGCCCCTGGTGTGAAGCTGCAGTGGTTGAGGGGGGGGGGGAATTTTGCCTGCCCTGCCAGGCTTGGCTGCCTGTACTCATCCTCAGCATCGCTATCACCTGCCTGCTGCTTCCCTGTTTCCAACTCCGTGTGCTTTATTTGCTGTTCTGCAGGAAGCAGCTAGCAAATCCGGGGCTGAAAAAGCAGCGGAGAAAGCAGCCTGTGAAAAAGGACCGAAAACTCCCGGTGCTGAAGATGAAGAGGCTGAAGGACATGTATGATGGAGGAGGAGGGGAAGGAAAAGCCTCCTGCCCTTGGCCCACGCAGAAAAAGGTTGCTGCCAGACCTCGGGACTCGCCAGTGTTTTCTTGTAAAGCTTGTTACAGTTTGTGTGATTGTGGAAGCAAAAAGCGCCTCGCGAAGAAAAACGAACCCCATCCTGCTGCCCTGGGCACACTCGGGGGCAGAGCGGGAGCGGCGGGACGCCGTGGGACCACCGCACGTGGAACAAATAGCTTTTAAACGGAGAGAAAGAGAAAAAAAAAAAAAAAAAAAAACAAAAACCCAAAACAAAAATAAATAAAAATTGAAACTCTTGGCTTTTGGGAGGTTTCCGTAGACAGCTCGTCCCGGCCCCCTTGGCTTCATGTCAGCTGTCGGCGCAGCATCCCAGAGATGAGCTGGGATGTGGGAGATGCTCCTCGTCCGCTGCAGTGCTGCCTCTGGTTGTATCCGCCACGCGACCGCGCTGCTCAGCACCGGTGCCAGCACCGGGTGCCGCGGCGGTTCCGCCAGCCCCGGGCGCGGAGGGGAATGCCGGCGGCACGGGCACGGTGAGCTGCTGCAGCCCGGAGCCCCCGGCGGCTCCTCGCCCAGGGGTGCTCGCTGGGGGCTGCGGGGAAATTGGTTTTCTCTTGCCTGTGGCCGAAAGGGTTGGGGTGCGGAGCCAGGCGTGAAGGTGAGGAGCCACGTCACCTCCGCTGCAGCCCCTCGGTGCAGGGATGTAATTCACCTTCAAAAACAACGTTTTGGGGGGGCGATTTTATCTTTTGAAGAAGCTGGTTTCTGTTCCCTCGGAGAGCAGCAGCCTCCTGTCCAGCTCCGCTGCTCGCAGGCGCTCAATCCACAGCCTGCGCCCCATCCCTCGGCTCCCATCGTTAAATGGGAGTTTTATTGCTTATTCGGGGTCGATATGGGGGGGGGGGGGGAAATAAAAAAAAAAAGAGCAGGTTGGCATATTGTGGTTCAGAAAGCCAAGTGACTGGCTCCGAGCTGGTGTCGTGGGTTTACAACTCGTCAGCGAGCAGCTCCTGCCGTGGCGAGGGGGGACCGGCGGCGGGTCCCCACACCGGTGCTGCTGCCACCTCGGCCATCGTCCCCCCCTCCATCTCAAAGGGACGCTGTCACTACTGTGTGGGAACAGCTTTCTGGTTGTTATTTTTCCTGCCTGTTCTTTGTAATACTCCTTTTGGAGCTTGAAAATAAACAACTGAAATTAAAAAAAAAAAAAAACAAAAAAAAAAAACGAAACAGAAAGAAACCTAAAAATGCTTATTCTCTGGATCCTGCTCAGCAAAGGGGGTGTCTGGGGGGAGGGTGGGTGTGCTCTCCCCTGGGTGGAAAAACCCCAGCACCAGTGAGGGGTCTGTTAAGGAGTTACTGGTGTGCCCAAGGGACGATGCTCTCTCTCCCCTCTCCCTTTTCATCAGCACCATCGTTTGGGGAGGGGCAGCCCGCCGGGCTTCCGAGGTGCCTGGCTACTTCGGGGTCTCAGCTCTTTTTCCAGCCTGGGGGGAGGATTTATCCTGATGCTTTTTTTTTTTTTTTTTGCCAGTGTGTACCTTTGGGATGGGGCTCCCTGGGGGTGCCCGGGTGGGTGCAGGAGGCATTTGTGCCCCTTGGCTGAGGGCGTAGGGGGAGCAGAGAGCCGTGCCAGTGGGGCCCATGGGTCTGCCTGCCCCTCTCTTACCCCCAGTCTTGAGAGGATAAACCAGATTTGGTTAAAATTTCTCCTGTCTAGTCCATCAGGTGAACTGAGCATCGTTTCTCAAGCCTGCCTGATTTCCCACCTGTGGTGGATGTTCCCAGCACGGTGATTATGCGGCTGCTCCGGCTGCTCATCCTGGTCTTCAGTTTTACACCACCCTTGGGGTGTCTCGTAGCCAGCAAAGCATCCCTGTGGGTGCTGCCCGGGGAGGGTGCTGCTACACCCAGGGGTTCTGCAAAGAATTGCCTTTTTTTTCCTTGCAGGCAGGGCAAAAATGTTATTTGGGGGCAGCCCAAGCCACATTTTCCATAGGAAACAACCCTCTACAGAAAACACCAAACAACTTGCTTTGCAGTTTCTGGGCTCTTTCTCCTGTTTTTAAACGGATTTTTTGGTCTTATTTTGGCTTGATGCTTTTCTCCCTTTTGGAAGATAAATTAAACTCGGGCAGGTGATGAGGTGCGGTTTAGAGATTAAAGGGAAACTGGGGGGGGGGGGGCGAATTTTCTACCCAAGGCGTGGAAACCTTCACGGTGCTGGTGGACCCCGGGTGTGTGGTGTTCAAATGCCATCTAGTGGCACTGGCCATGGGGTGGGAAATGGGGCGGCGGGGGGTTTTGGGGTGTCTGTGGTGGGCTGGGCAAGGCTGAGGGTCCAGTGGGGTCACTGGGGGAACTTGGCTCGTCCGGCTTTGCGACCAGAGAGTGTCTGGGGGCAGCATTTGGAGGGGGATATTAACAGCTAAATAATAAGTGTCGTTAACAGCGAGGTGAGGTGGGAGCAGCCATGTGCAGAGTGTAAAATCTGGCACCCGAAGGGACCTGGGGACGTGGGAGCGGGGTCGGGGCAGGGCGGTGGTCCCCAGGGAAGCCCTTAGCATCACACAGAGCTGGGGGTGCTGCCTTCCCCCTGCACAGGCTCCCCATGCACAGCTCGGGCAAAACAGCTGAAATCCTGCTTTTCTATCACCAAGACGTTATTTTTGGGTGGGAAAAGGTACATTCAGGGAGGGTAGCCCCTACACGAGGCCAGGCAGGATCCCTCTGCCCACATCAGGCTGGAGCGAGCAGTCCTGCCCTGCTGGGGAGCCCACCCAGCGTGGGGGGAGCCGTGCACCCCCAAAAGGCACCCAGGGTCTGATTGACCCCCTGTGCCCCCCTGTGCTCCCACGGGGCCCCCTTTTCCTGGGATTACCGCCCTGCCAGCTGCTCTCCTGGCGGGCCTGGCCGACAGACCCTGAAATCCTATTATGGAGTTTCAGGAGAAATAAAAAGTTAATCATCTCCTTTGCCCGCTCTTCCTCCTCCTCCTCCTCCTCCTCCTCCTGCCTCAGGGGCTCACAGAGCCGACGCTGTGAGGCCACTCGGCCCCGACCCCGCGGATTCAGCCCGGGGCTGGCAGGGGCTGCAGCGCTGGGGGGTCAGCGGCCGGTGCCCAGGAGGAGGGGAGGAGGTCGGGGCAGGGTGGTGGGGGCCATCCCGGGGCCATGCCGCTGCAGACGGAGATCCTGCGCGAGGTCTGGGCTGCTGACAGGTGAGTGCCGGCGGGCAGGATGCGACCCGCGGGGCGGGCGATGTGCTGGGCATCCCCACCAGGCTCCCAGCTCCTCCGGTGCCTTTTTCTCCTATTTTCAGTTTAAATGCAATTTAATGAGCTGTTTTATCAGTATGTTTGTTTGTTTGTTTGTTTGTTTTTTTCCTCCGGGGGTTGGTGCGATGATGCTCATTGGCTTACAGAGAGGAAAAGTGTTTGTTAGAGGGGGGGGGTGTCCCCAAATTAACCTCATTGCTGTCACCCTTGGCTAAGACAGAGCCCGTCCTGTGCTCCCTGCTAGGAGGGATGCTGCCAGCCAAGCTCGACCCCGTCGAGACATGGGCAGCTGCTTCTGGAGGCAAACAGAAGGCTGACCTTTCCTCCCCACCCCAAAAATTGGGGTGGTGCTCAACCAGAGGGTCTCAGCCCCCCCCAAGAGCCGTGGAGGGCTGAAAGCCCTCACCCCTTTGCTTTCTGTGCCCCACAGCACCAGCGAGCAGCCGGAGACCGCCCCGCAGCACAAGCCCAAGCAGGTGAGAAAAAAATCCTTTCCCTCATGTCCCTGTGTCACCATCCCCTGCTGTGAGCTGTCCCCCAGGGCTGGGGGCATCAGAGACCCCTGGGCCCCAGCCCCACACCAAGACCAAATTGGGGCTGAACAGTTTGCTCTGTTGAGGTGCTGCAGCCCCAAGAGGGGCATGAACTTCTGGGGACCCCTCTCCAGAGCAAGTGGGTAGACCAAATTCCACAGTCCCCCCTGCTCCTTTGTGCATCCTTCCAAACCCCCTCTCCATCACTTCAAAGCACCCGGTGAGGTGGGCTCTCAGTTCCTCATTAACTAATTAAGCCTCTCAGTTAAGCCCTCAGCCTTGACGCACTTTCCCCAGGCGGTGACCCGAAGGCCAGACACCCCTCACTGTGTTTTGGCACAGCCCCTGGGTACCACCCTGCCTTGGAGGGGTCTTCTCGGCAATGTCATCAGCCACCTGATTTAATCAGCAGCCCCTCTTCGAAGGGCTTTGTTAAATAATGAAGCAAGTGGCTGTCCTCTCCCTCCACCCAGGGCTGCTTAAAGGATTAAATGATGCGAAGGAGCTTTTCGGTGTGAGCTGATGACATGGAAGAAACCAGCGGGTTCCCAGCCCCTCTGTGGGACCCCCTCCGCTTCCAACCCCCCAATCCATAGCCCTGGGATCCTGCTGGAACCCCACTCTTGCAAAACACCTTCACCCTCTGCGCTGGGACATCCAGGAGGGAGAAAACCCTGGGAGAGGGAAGGTGCTTTGTTGGGTGGTGGGTGCCCTGGTGCAACTGGATTTGCTTAAATCACTTTCTGAGGGCCTGGAGCTGACACCCACTCCCCAAATACCTCCTGTCTGGAGCCAAAGGTTGCCCCACATGCTCCGTATTTGGTAAATCAGGGTTATTTATAACCCTGGCTAGCTGGGATTAGGTGTGCTGTGTCTAATCCCTCTGTTTCCCTGCTCCTGCTGACCTCCATCCCCGGCACAGCCCCACGGCTCCTTGCCTTCGACGGGAGCCTTTTACGGGGGCGAGAGGAGATGGAGGTACGGAGCCAGGCTGCCTGCTTGTCCCCATGTCCCCTGTCCCAGCTCGGGGTCCCTGGGATGCCCATCGGGAGATGAGCTGGTGCCCGGGGTGGCTCCTGGCCGGGGTCCCTACGGCACAGCGTGGCTTGTCCCTCCATGCCAGCACGGTCCCTGGTGTCGGGGCTGCACCAGCATCATGTCCCTCATCCCCAGGGCTGGCATGTGGCTGGCTGTCCCAGCGCTGATGCTCTCCTGTCTGTCTGCTAACAGCCCTTTCTCTTTTCTTCCCTCTGCCTTCCCCGGGGGATTGCCCCATGGTAAGTCGCTCCTTTGAACATGCGGGTGGGTCCTTGTCCCCAGAGCGGGTCCCTGCTCCCAGGTGGAGCTGGGGAAAAGCCCGGATGTATTTTGGAAGGGGAGCTACTGCTGTATGAGCTGGGGAACAAAGGGAAAAGGGATTTAAGGCCAACACCATCTCTGCAGCACTGTCCGCGGGGGTAGAAGCTGAAGAAGAAGCGGCAAGAGCCTGTGCTGGAGCCTGAGGCCAAGCCCCGGCGGCTGCGGGTGAAGAAGCTGGGTGAGGCGGGGGCTGCGGAGGAGCCCCGTGTCCCAGCACAGGGTAAGCACAGACACCCCCCCCCCAGCTCCCATGGAAATGGGGGGACATACTGGTCCCCCCCACAGCCCCACCCGGCACCCGCGGTGCTTTCCATCGCAAGCATCTCTTGAAACGCGCAGGGGTGAAGAAGCTGAAGAAGAAGAAGGAGGAGAAGGGGGAGGAGGAGGGCGACAAGGACCCTTACTCTAAATTTATCAGGGAGCCTCAGAAGAAGAAGGAGAGCCTGGCCCCCCGCTCCCACGTGGCCAAGGGCCCCAAGAAGCAGCAAGGTGGGAGGGCAGCACCCACCGCTCTGTGGGAACCCACTCGTGGCACCCCATGTCCCCATGCACCATGTCCCACCAGTGACATTGATGCTCCTGGGGTCTGCAGGGGCTCTGCACGTCCTGGGGTGGGGTCTTTTTGGCCAAAGCCCAGCTATGTGCCCAGGAGGAAAGGGGATGTGGCAGGGGACCTGCACGCATGGTGTTGGCTGAGGACTTGGGAGCAGAGGGGGGATGCGCTCTCTGGGAATGTGGCAGTTGGTGGCTGGCTGGTGTCACCAGCTCCTCGGGCATCTTTCCGGAGCAAAAAGATGGGGTGGGCAAAAATATGGGGCTCGTGTCCCCCGTCCCCACCACCCACCCCCCCCGCCCGCACCCTGGGGCTGCAGCCGCGAGATGGCAGTGTGACTTTGCACGCTGTGTCCAGTGCTGGACATGTCCATCGTGCCACTGGCCAGGCACCCACAGCCCCAGCACCCTGGCTGCGGTGGGATGGGTGCCCAAACTGGCCGGTGCTGCCGAGGGAGGTTCCCTGCTCGCAAACCATGAGGTTGTGGGTCCCCGATTCAAGAGGCCGTCGCGTTGCTGACGCCATGGTGTCACCTCCAAGCAGAGCTGGCTGAGGACTCGGAGGATGAAGAGGAGGAAGAAGAGGTGGAGAATAAAGACCCACCCAAAAAGCTCAAGAAGAAGTTGCCCAAAGACCCCCCCTCGGGTGAGAGCCGGGAGAAGAAGCTGAAGCCGAAGGGTGAGTGCCCAGGGGATGGGGATGTTTCAAGCCCGGCTCCGTTGTCACTTGCATCTGTCCTTGCCGGGATGAGGGGACTGCCCGTGTCCCATCCCCATCGCAGTGTCAGGAGGTTCAATCGCCCTTTCCCCCTCCAATCTCCCCCCAGCTCAACCTTTCCCCCTGCCACTTCCCTGTCCCCCATCCCCTCCTGTCCCTGTCCCCCTGTCTGGCCGCTCACTGGCTCCTCCATCCCACCAGGAGACAAGGGCGACCCTGACAGCAAAGCCAAATCTGCCAAAAGCACCAAGAAGGAGTCGATGTCCATGTTCCAGGTAAACGGGGAGAAGAAGGAGAAGAAAAGCAAGAAGAAAGGTACGGGGTGAGCTGGGGAGGGGGGTTGGCAGCCAGTCCCACTGCCCCACAGCATCACCCCGATCTGACAGCACCCGGTGCTGTGTGACGGTGTCCCCCGTGTGCCCCCCAGCCGCCACTGGCAGCGATGAAGAGGATGATTCTGATTCTAGCACCAAACCCATCAGGTCAGAGAAGAAGAAAAACCCCGTGTCCCTCTTCCAGACTGGCGGGGACCCCCCCAAGGAGAAGAAAACCAAAAAGAAAGGTTAGTGCCCAGAACCGGCAACGCGATGGAGGGTGGTGGGTGCTGGAGGGGCTCATGGGGGTGCGGGTGAGCCTGGCCATGGAGAGAGGGGTTATGATCAATGGGGTTGGTGTGAATCTATGCCAAGCTTGTTTTTTGGGGTTCAGTGGAGTCAGGCTTTTCCCCCCCCTGCTGTGCCCCTCCCCGTTCCTGCTTGCAGCTCCTCCCAAAGCAGCAGGCAGCGAGGAGGAGACCCCGGAGACCCCGCAGAAAAACTCCAACAAGAAGGGGAAAGGAAAGAAATCAAAAAAGGTACAAAAACCCCCTCAGAGTTGTGAGGATCCCCTTGGGGGTGAGGGGCAGCAGCTCTTTCCCCCAGGGTGGATTGCAGGGCTGGACCATCCCTCAGGGAAACCCACTGCAACACCATCCCCAAAGCCGCAGAGCCACGTCCCCAGGGGGATCGGGAGGAAGGAGCAATTAGCTGGGAAAGGAGGGGAGCTTTGGGCAGGTTTGGCTTTGGGGTCGCCATCCCCCCTCGTGTTGTAGTCGAAGGAGGAGCGGGCCCCGTCACCTGTCATCGAGGTGGACAACCTGGAGGAGTTCGTGCTGCGGCCGGCGCCTCAGGGGGTGACCGTCAAGTGCCGGGTGACACGGGACAAGAAGGGGATGGACCGAGGGCTTTACCCCACCTATTACGTCCACTTGGATAACGACAAGAAGGTGGGCTGGGGTGGGGGTGTGGAGACCCCTGGGGCGCTGCATCGTTGTCGGAGGGGCACCCTCAGGGTTTTGGGGGGTTGCCCACCTGTACCCCACTGTGGTGGTGGGTCCTGGATGGGGGTGTTCCCCTCCCCTGCAATTCCTCTTGGGAAATGTCCCGTGTTGATGCAAACGTCGGCCGGAGAGCCACACCAAGGCTGGGCTGGGCTCAGACCCTCACGCTCCGTGGCTCAGCCGGTGTTTTGGGGATCATCTTCACTCCCTGACTTGTGCAAGGCCATGGCAGTGACCTGTTGGGCCAAGCCTTGCACAGAGGGCATGGCGGGGTGGCGAGCTGGGAACGGCAGTGGTGATGACAATGCCCTGTCCCCACGCGGTCCCACCGTCCTCCCAGGTGTTCCTCCTCGCTGGGAGGAAGCGTAAGAAGAGCAAAACCTCCAACTACCTCATCTCCATCGATCCCACCGACCTGTCACGGGGGGGAGAGAACTTCATCGGGAAGCTGAGGTAGGAGCGGAGGTGGCACCCCGTTTCGGTGGCTCCCCATTCCTGCAGCACCCTGCTCCCGCTCCATGGGTTGCCGGCTGCCCCGAGCCATGGCTGGGTCAGGCAGGAGGCGAAATTCAGTGTTCCCCCCGCCGCTGGGTCTGACCTGAGGAGTGTTGGGGGGCCGGGAGGGGAAAACAGGCTCATCTGGTTCTTCCTGGCAGACAGGTCATGGCTAGAAACGGTGCCCGACAAGTCCCAGCCCGCTGCACTGCCGGCAGCCGTGCAGCGACGCTGGGGGGGTCCCCGCGGCGGCAGCACCCTATAACACCCCGATTTAGGGGTGCCCTGAGCTCAAGCAAACAGCTAAAGGGTGGGAAGGATGGTGTTGGCTGGGGGCTGCGTGTGGGTTTTGCAGCCGGAGCAAAGCCGGGGCTGTGACTGAAGAGGGGGGGGACGGGGCGGGTTGGTGTTCACCGGCCATGGCCACCTCCCGCCCTCGGCTGCAGGTCCAACCTGATGGGCACGAAGTTCACGGTGTTCGACAACGGCGCGAACCCCGACAGGGCCAACGCCGACTGGTCCAACGTGCGGCAGGAGCTCTCGGCCGTGGTCTACGTAAGCAGCGGCGTGGGGACCCCCCCGGGACCCCCCCGGGCAGGCAGCAAGGGGGTCCCGACCTGCACCCCTTCCCTGGGCTACTGCCTCGGGGGGTGGCAGAGATGCGGGATGGGCTGGATCCGTCCCTGAGCCCTTGTTCAGCCACTGGCAAGAGACTGCAGCCCCTGGCAGTCACTGGTTCTAGGGATGGGGTTTCCCTTGCAGGAGACCAATGTTTTAGGGTTCAAAGGCCCCCGGAAGATGACGGTCATCATCCCTGGGATGAACGCTGACAACGAGAGGGTGCCCATCCGGCCCCGAAATGTAAGTTGGTGCCAGACTGGGAGAAACTTCTTGAAGGCTGGATTTGCTGGGGTTCACCTTGGATTTTAACCATTTTGGGGCATGGAAAGGCTTTCAGGTGTCCCTGAAATTCAAAGCACCTCCCTGGGAGGTGGGAGATGCGGTGTCTGTATTTTTTTTCTCCGTGCTGGATCCCATCTCCCAGCTGGACAGTGCTACAGAGCATCCCCCTGCGCACGCCATGGAGGGGCTGCAGGGCACTGGGTGAGCTCTCCCCAACTCTGCTCTGACCCCCCCCTCTTGCCCTCCCCAGGATAATGACGGCCTCCTGATGCGATGGCAGAACAAAAACATGGACAACGTGATCGAGCTGCACAACAAGACGCCAGTGTGGAACGACGAGACCCAGTCCTACGTCCTCAACTTCCATGGCCGCGTCACCCACGCCTCCGTCAAAAACTTCCAGATCGTGCACAGCAGCGACCGTAAGCTGGGAAGGGGAAGGGACAGGGTGGTGACAGTGGGGGAGGACTGCCATCAGCTGGCCCCAGCACCCCGTTTTTTTGCTGAGGTTTAGGGTTTTTTCACGCATGGGTGGTTTGACAGGGTGTGCGGCACCGCACAGGCAGCTGCCTGCTGGCCCCGGGTGCCGGCAGAGGGAGCGCACGGGTCACCTGTTGCCAGGCAGATTAGGACAAGGACAAATCCTGTGGGGTGCTGAGCCCGCCCTCCCCGATCACACTACAGCCACCCCCTCAGCCCAGGCTGCCCCAGAGCATCACCCCCAGCACGCACCCCACACTGCCGGCGGGCTCTCCCCGGGGGGCATCGCGCCTCGGGGACAGTCCCTCGGGGGTGGCAGCGGCTCTGTCCCCACGCGAGCGGCCGGACGCGACCGTTCATCACCTGTCCGGCGCAGTCAGAAGCCTTCGGCCTCCGGGGTGTTGGGTTACGGGACAGAAAAAACCTCTCGGGGGCCCCTGGTTATTTTTACAGATTTCCTGTCACCCGCCCTCCGGTAGCAGCGGTCCCACGGGGGGGTGAGTGGGGTCCCCTGTCCCTTGAGGGGCTGCGCTCCCGGGGATCTGAAGGGTGCCAAGGTCCTGCGCTGGACCGTGCGAGGGAAAAATGGTGTTTTTTGGTAACATGTGCTGTGGTGCAGCGGCTGCATGAGCCGTGGGGGGTGGAGGGGGGCAGGTTCTTTGGGGTGCCGCTGCGTGGGTCCCCGGGGAAAAGGGTGCGTGGGGGACATCCCGGCTTCTCTCCCCCCTCCGCGCCGGCCGCAGCCGTCCCTTCTCTCCCACAGCCGACTACATCGTGATGCAGTTCGGGCGCGTGGCAGACGACGCCTTCACCATGGACTACAACTACCCGCTCTGCGCCGTGCAGGCCTTCGCCATCGCCCTCTCCAGCTTCGACGGGAAGCTGGCCTGCGAGTAGCGCCCGCGCCGGGGCTGCCGGGGCCCGGTGGGTGTCCCTGCATCCCCCTCCTGCTCCGCTCCCTCCGTTTCCACCTTCTGCCCGGCGAGCATTCGCGGTTGCAGCCGCTGCTGGGGTGGCTTGAGGTGCACGGTGCCTGCAGAGCGCAGGTGGCCGTGGCCACCCTCTCCTGGCAAATTTGGGACAGATTGCTGGTCTGGGGCAGATGGCAGGGTCAGGCTGGGGTATATTTAGCAGATGAGGCTGACTGCGATCCCAATCTCATCCCTTTGAGACGTTTCTTGGACTCGGATCCTGGAAACTCATCCCCCCTTTTTTTTTTTTTTTTTTTTTTTTTTTTTTCAGATTCTGGTTTCGATTTTGTAGTTCAATCTCTCAGTGAGAAGGGGCTTGGTGGTCTCCTCGTTTCTCCCCCTGTGAGTGTGCACAGAGTACACACACACACACAACCAGGCTTTGCCCAACTCCTGGCAAGGGACCCCCTGCCCGGCTCGATGCCCACCGGGCACCAAACCCCTGTTTTTCCCCATTTTGCCCTCGTGCGAGCAGCCGTGCAGTGCCCACCGTATCTTTGCGTGCCCCAGGCTCTGCACCCATGGGGTCTAACCCTCCTGTCTGGAAGAGCCTTTGGGGATTTAGGTCCCTGAGGAGCCGCCTGGCACCCAGAGCACCGGCGGCGCACGGGCACGTGCTGCAGGAAGCCGGTGCTGGCGGAGGAGGGCCGGTAGCCACGTGAGGCAGAGCCGGCATCGCCGGCACGGGGCTGGGCTGGTGCCACCAGGAGGGACCTGGAAGGGAAAACTCTGGGTGCACCAGGAAGCACCGGGGTGACTCACCAGGTGTGGTGCGGTGCTGAGTCACCCTCAGCACCCGGATGGGCCCCGCCGAGCCCCCCGCGTCCCCTCCGCTCACCGCTCCGGTGCTCTGCGGCATCCCTCCGGACCCCCCCCCCCCCACCACCCTGGGGCTGGTGTTGCCACGGAGCCCTGCACGCCCCAGGTGTCCCTGCTGCAGGGACCGGCCCCACTGGTGCTCCGTGCTCGTGGGGAGGTGGCAGATGAGAGGTGCCGCCCCATGGCACAGACCCGTGGGGGGTCATTGGGAAAGGGAGATGCTGGAGAGGGGCAGCTCGGGGGGAGCAGGGCAGCCCATGCCCCCATTTCCAGCACAAACCCACCTTTGTGCGGTGAGGATTTGGCTGCACGGACAATCCCAAATCTGATTAATTCAGTGGTGAGAAATGTCGGGACATGCCAACGTGCCCCACACCACCGTCCTTGCTTCTCTATCCTGTTCAGCTCACACACTGACCCCAAGGCGGGGGCTGATCCAATTTGGGGTCCCTTCCTGGGACACATACAAATCTTTCCCCCATTCTGGGGGTGATCTGAGCCCCCCAAGTTAACACTGTGAGAGGTAGATGGGGCGGAAAGGTCAAGGAGCAGGAAACAGAGGAGACAGACGTCGTTGTGCAAGAGGGATGCTCGTCCTCGCTGGTCAGTGTTGCAACACCACGGTGGCCCAAACCCGTCCCTGCGTGGGGCTGGGGACAGGGGACAGTGACAGTGGGACCACGAGCCGCAGTGGGACTGCTGGCGAGCATCTGCACCAGTGGCTTTGCAGACAGAGCTGAGATTTTCCCACCAGCTGCACGAATCCGGGCTCCGTGATTCATCAGCAGACAGTCATGGCGGGGGCAGAGGGAGGCGGACAGCTCAGGGCCGACGTGGGACATCGTGAAACCTTCTTGTGAGCTAAAGGGAGAACCAGCCACGGCGGTTCGGGGCAAGCGTCCCTTGGCTAGGTATGGCCAGCAAATGTGGGGAAAGCAAGAGCTTGCTTCCCCAATCCAGCCACGAACCCAACATCTGTTTGAAATCGAGAAAATCTCAGCTAACAGTTAAGCTAACACTTGTCCTCCTTTCCTCCCACGGAAGCAGAAAAGCCGAAGCAGGGTGAGAAAGAGGGGTTTGGGCTCCCCAAGCTCTCAGTGGAGCACGAGTTGCCATTATTCCAGTTTCTCCCCAGGAAGTTTCTCCCTCCCCTCACCCAAAGAGTCTCCATGTTGCCCATTGTTGCTTGCAAACCCCTCGGGATTCCCAGCCTGCAGCCCAAGTGGAGCAAAAAAATCTGCCACGGGTGTCCAAGGCCATGCCCCACCATCCCAGAACTCAGTTACCGCATCAGCTGCCCACCCCAAATCACTTACACAAACCCTCTAACCCAAACCAACTGCAGCACAAGAAACAAATGAAAACAATTTAATAGGGCGATGGATATTCGGGCCCTTTGTTTGCGCTGGCTGTTAACACCAGAGGAGATGAGGAATGGAAGCAGTTGAAATGTGTATCTACTTTGGCCGACGGAAAGTGTGACGGATGCGCCGGCAGACCAATAGCTGGGGATGCTGGGGTGTGCGTGGGTGGGAAAGGAATGCTCGCTGTAAGAAAAGATCAGAAAAAAAAAAAAAAAAAAGAGAAAGAGCCTTATCAACGGCGTTTGAGCCCAAAGCGTGTGTCTTCCTTGGAGAAAGGGTTTTCTCAATCCCCGGGGACGGTGATTTTGTGACAGCATGAGATGTTGAGGCTTCCGAAGCTTTATTTTAGGGGGCTGGTGTAAGGCTGGTGGTGCAGGGTTGGATTTAACCCCATGAAGCGCTCATGCAGGGGCACAAGCACGGCCAGCGGCCGGAGGCGACTGTCAGCAGCTCCTTAAGGGAACCTCCTGGGAGATGCCTTTTATTTTTGCAAAGATGGTTATAAGGCAAAGGGGAGGGGGGGGAAAAAAATAAGGTTCCACCTCGATGCTGAGCACCGCATCCTCGCTAGGACCAGTGTCACGGTGGTGCTGGCGGCTCTCGCAGGCGCTGGCTGCCGGCATCCCCATCACCTGTGAGCGGAAAGATGCTGGTCCAGAGCCGAGCAGGAGGAGGGAAACGGGGGGGATCTTCTCCAACTGGTCGCTTTTCCCCCTGCCCCAGACCCCTGGGGCTCAGGGGGTGTTCCATGCACCCAGCCCTCAGCCCAGGTTCAGCCCCTGTGCTCTTAGGGGGGGATGTGGGGTGTTTCCATGGGGCTCCGAAGGGCAAATGCCCCCCCCCCCCCGGCAGGTCCTGGGCGGGGGGTCGGGGCAGGGAACGCCTGGCCCAGCGCTGGAAGGGCCGGAGCTGTTTGGGTCCCAGCGAGGGCCGTGCGCGGCAGCGAGCATCGCCTCAGCCTCGGGGGCTCTCACCCCGTGCTTTGAAGGGGTGACACATTAATTCATTAAAGAAGTGATCGTGACGGGATGTTTTTCTCTCCCCTTCCCCTCCCCGTGTCTTTCTCTCGGTGGTATTTTTTAGAGGGAAAGGCAGACTCGTGGCTGGTAAGCTGGGCTGCGGCATTGTAGGATGGGCTCTTTCTCGGCGCATCAAGCGACAGGCAGTAATGGGAAAGCCAATATTTTTCAACTGCTTTTAAAAAGGAATCATTTTTTAATTAGTGAATCCATTCTGGAGAAGTGTTGGAGTTTTACAGTGTTGTAGCTGTTCTTGGTGTCTTGCCTAGACTTGGATGTTCTGGCCATAAGAAAATATTATTTATGGCGTTGCTGCTTGCAGCTCTTTTATATTATAATTTGGGAAAGGAAGTTGCTGTTCCCACCAGTGGACGAAGAATAGCAGAAACGAGGATTACGGACTTCTGAAGGAGGAGGAAAAATAAAAAATAAATTAAGAGGCAGGACTGAAAGAAACCACCGGGCTGGGCTTGAATCGCTGCCCTCCAGAACAAGCTCACCCCGGCATCGCCAGCGGTTGTGTCGGATGCTGTAGCCGAGCTGAATCCTGACCCTGCACGCGCGGCGGGCCCGGCGCGGCGGTGACCCCCTCGGTCCTCCCCTGTGCGGCGTTACATGTGTTCCTAAACATTTGCAGATCAGGCTTTTATTCATGGGCTAATGCACGCTTGTTTGCTCATGCCTTACTCAGCCTAAACTCCTATTGAACTCAATTAAGCCTGTCATCTCTAGGAGCAGTCAATGTCATTTTTGCCCAAGTAAGGGATGAGTAACGAGTGCTCCGAACGGCCCTTGGAGAATAGCAGCCATTTTGTTGCAGTTTTTGGTCCAGATTTCTTACAAGTTAGCACCAGGCCAAGGGTGGAAGAATGTGATACGGCTTTATTAATCACACACAACTGCTGAATGCGCTGGATGTTTCGGAGACTGTCGCTTTACGGGTTGCAGCGTTGTCCCAAAATGCTTGAATACAACCAAGCTCAGCAGGAAAATTAGAAAAATATGTTTCTAGAAGGGCCGGGATGAAAAGAGCATCCCTCCTTCGAGCAGTGTGCCGGGAGGATTGCTCCCTCTGGTTTACCTCTCTGGGTTTTGGGTACCGCGGCACAGGTCCTTGCTGCGTGCCGGCCCCCGAGGCCGGTGGGGCCGGGGATTTTGTCGCGTGTTGTCCGTATCGGGGCCGTGGTTCTCGGCCGCCGGGCTGGGTCACGGCCAGGGACTCGCATGCGATCAGCCGGCTGCGGCTTAGCGCGTTACCACCCGTCGGCTCGCTCCGAGGAAATGACCGCGGCCCGGCTCCTGGCTCGGTTCCCTTGGGAAATCACAGTGGCATGGGCTGGGATCCCCATCCTGGGTACCGTGGCGTGGGTGTTCGGGAGAGACGGGGAATCTGTGGGGTGCAGGGGGCTGAGGGGGCGTGTGTGGGGATGAGGAGAGGGTGAAGGTGTTTGGAAGGGGATGAAGGTGTGAGGAGAGGGACAAGGAGGGGGATGAAGGTGTTTGGGGGGTAACAAAGGTGTGAGGGTGGGGATGAGGAGGGGGATGAAGGTGAATGCAGGGATGAAGGTGAGCGCGGGGATGAAGGTGAGTGTGGGGATGAAGGTGAGCATAAGGGGATGAAGGTGAGCGCAGGTATGAAAGTGAGCGCAGGGAGGAAGGTGAGTGCAGGGAGGAAGGTGAGTGCGGGGGGGTGAGGACGTGTGGAGGAGGATGAAGGAGGGCAATGAAGATGTGCAGAAGGGGATGAAGGTGTGGCCGGGGGACCCTGGCTGGCTGCTGACGGGACGGGACGGCAGCACCCTCATGCCTCGGCCCAGGGCTGCATCCCGGGGCTGCAGGCTGGAGAAGGAGGAGGAAGAGGAGGGTGAGGAAGGCTCCTAGAAGGCGCTCCCAGAGGCCGGGCCGGGCCGAGCCGGGTTCAAGGGCTGCCTTTCCCCCCTCCCCCCCCCCAAAAAAAAAAAAAACCAAACCCTCCTGGTGAAGGGGAAGCCCCGCATCCCCACTGCCCGCCGCCCCGTCGGGGAGCGCTGCCGCCGGGCTGGGGGCGCGGGCGGGGAGGGAGGGAGGGAGGGAGGGAGGAAGGGCCGGGGAGGAGGAGGAGGAGGAGGGCAGCGGGAGGAGGGAGGAGGGTCGGGCCGGCCCCGCCGCCTCCTGATTGACTCCCAACTTTCTGCTCCTCCCTTGCATAAACTTTCCCGTCCCTGCGCCTGGCTCCGTGCGCGGACCCGGGAGCCCGCCGAGCTCCCCGCATTCCTGCCGCCCTCCCCGGCCCCGGCCCCGGCCCCGGCCCCGGCCCCGGCCCGGCCCCGGCCCGGTCCCGGCACCCGCGGCCGGCCCAGCCCCTCCGGAGCACGGAGCAGGTAAGCGCTCGCCGGGAAGAGACTCCCAACCCCCCTTCCTCCTCCTCCTCCTCCTCCTCCTCCGGCGCCTCCTTCCTCCCGGCCCGCAGCCCTCCGGCTGCACCGAGCCCAGGCGGGGGGGTCGCACCAGCCCCCGTCGCCCCTCTGTGTATCCTCCCCCCCCCCGGCAGCCCGGTACCTCCCCCCCGGCGCTCCCCCGCTTCTCCCCCCCGACGGCCCCCAATGGGGAGGGGTGTGTGTTGGGAGAGCACAGCCGGGCTGTCCCCAAGATGTCCCCAACCCCTCCCTCCCCCCCTTCCCGTCGAGTCCCCAAGCTCCCACCCCGTCGGGGTCCCCCCCCCCCCCCCGGGTCCCCCCCGCTGCGGCGCATCCCCGGGGTGCGCGGGCTATAGGGTTACAAAGAGGCCTTGTGTACCGTATAGCCCATACGTCGGGAGCGTGGAGGGCGCGGGCGCCAGGCGTTATATAAAGCGATAAACCGCCCCATCGGCCCCCTGGCCCCGGCCGAAGCCCCCGCGGGAAACAGCGTGGGGGTGGGGGTGGGGGCGTGTGTGTCCCGGGTGGGGTGTGGGGGCCACACGCGTGTCACGTTACATGTGTGTCACACGCATGTAGGGGATGACCATACGCTGACTGTATGCTAAACACTTTGTGCCTCGTCATAGGGGCGCATTGCTAACGAGGCAGCAATTAGATGTATAATTTTCAGCAGTGTGTCATCTTTATTATTATTATTATTTTATTTTTACACCCTTCTTGGGTTTGGGGTTGTTTTTTTTTTCCCCCTAACCCCCTTGGAAGAAAAATAAGGCCAAACCCTCGCAGTGCTGCCCGCCTCCACCCCCCGAAACCGCTCAGGCCCTATGCAACGCGTTTGGCCTGTACCGGCGGAGGAAAAAAAAAAAAAAAAAAAAAAAACCAAACATATTTTGGGGAGAAACCAGCTGGAAATGGTATCAGAGGCCCTTCCGGGATGGCGGGCACCCTGTAGCCCTGCATCCCTGTTGGGTGGTTGGCATGGGGTCGCAAGGGAAGAGGCGAAGGCAGAGGTTTGGGGGTTTTTTGGTGCTTTGTGGGGAGCTGGGGTGAGCAGGGCCGGGCGAGCGTCCCACCGGCAAAGCGATAATCTCCGGTGTCAGGCGCGCCGGGGTATTTTGGGCTCCGGCGTCCTCTCTCCCCTCCTATCGCTTTACCCGGCGCGGGTACGTGCGTGCTGTGAGTCAGGACTTTGGCACTGCCCAGCCACCCTGGGGGGCCCTGCCAGTGGGGCTGCCACCCCCTGCCCGGGTTTTGGGGTGCTCACAATGTTGGGTAGAGAACTGGGGGGCCTTCCAGGCTGGTGGTCACGCTCCCCCCTTCCCATGCACCCGCCGGCCCTGGGGTCTTCTGCAGCCCCAAAGCCCTTCCCCGCACCCGGCTTTTGGGGAGGGTCGTGCCCCTGCGAGATGAGAGGAAGAGGGTCCCCAAAGCGGCCAGGGGGTGAGGGCTCGCCAAGGTCACCCAACAGCGAAGCCTGGGGAGAAATGGGTGGGGGGCGTTGGGGGAGGTGACAGTCACTGTGGCACTGCCCGAGTGACGTTCCCGGCACTTTCCCACCGGAGAGGACGGGCACGAGCATCCCATTGGCAGAAGGCGCTGGATTTGGCCCTGTTTGGGTTTGCAGGGCTGGCCTTCCCATGGGAAGGGGCTGCGGGTGGGTGCCCCCTCCCAGCCGAGTGACACAGGGGGGGAGGACGTTCCGATCCCCAGGGGACCTCAGGCACCCAGGTCCCTCCCCAGGGTGGGCATGCGGCTGGCACCGCGCTGGCTTTGCTAATAAAAATAACCTGTTGAAGCCAGCGGGCTCTGTGGTGGGCCCCGGCTGCTTTGAGTAAGCAGCACCTGGGTATTTCGAGGCCCCTCATCCCGATCGGGGCGACTGCGGCACTGGGGCTCAGTTCATAGAGGGGGGATGCTTCAACCAGGGTATTTTGGGGAGGCAAAGGGGCACAGAGATGAACCCTCCAGCAGCCATCCCACCTCTAGTGTCACCCTCCTGCAAAGCAAAACCCCCTCCAGCCTCCACATCCACCAATAAAAGGGACTTGCATCCGTTTCTCGTGACAATAGGGTGGCTATTTATCGTGACCATCTCTTAATCGCCATTTAATCTCCATCTTGCCACCACCGAGCGGGTCGGGAGGCGAGTCCCGGTGGCCCCGGCACCGTGCTGAGGGAAGGAGCCTTTTCCTGGTGTGTGAGCAGGTCACAGCTCTGGGGAGGTGGGGGTGGCAGTGGTAATCAGCTATAATTAATGTATTAAAAAGCGAGTAACCGCGCAGCTCCTGTCAAACACGCAGCGAGCACGAGGCCGGTGGCAGGTGAGCTTGGCGGTAGGAGTGGTGCGGGCATGCAGCGGCTGGAGAAGAGGGGAAATGGGCAATTTGAGGCTGTTTGCAGGGAAAAAAAAATGTGGTTTTCTGCCTTAGTACCTCTTCTCCTCTCTGTGGGAGCGGAGGATGGTGGGGAAGAGAGGAGAATGGGTTGCAAAGCCCTAACCAAGGGTGCTGCTGGGGTTTGCGTGGCAAGAGCCATCCCAGGGCTCTTTGTGGGGTTGGGATCCCTTCATCCATCAAAGGACAGGACGGATGCTGTCCAAAAAATGTCCCATCTCTAGGAGCTTCTCTCTCTCATTAAATCCTTGACAGCAAGGGGCTGGCGGGGCTGCCATGGTTGTACCACCTTGAGTGCTGCCGGTGGATGGGATATAACCAAATACCGTTGATTTTGGGTGCTCCTGTCCCCGGGGGATGTGCTGGGCGGCCAGGCCATGCTCTGAGCTTCTCAGCCGTGTGTCCGAGGTGGTATTTGGGGTCGGTGCCCAGGCCGGGAGCGTGCCGGGGGCCGTGGTGGCCGAGCCCAGGCACCTGCGTGTTGCGGTCGGGGCAGGCACCTGAAGCGCGTGGGCGTTCGCTATTGCCACCGTCACGTGGCGGCTTATGAAATGTTTTTTTGGAGGGAGGGAGGGAAGGTAATGATGGGGTGAGCCGGCGGGGCCGTGCCCTGCGCCAGCCTGCAGCGGGCACGCGGCAGGAGCAGTTCCCCCCCCCCCCCCCCCCCCCCCCCGCCCCTTACTCTGTGATAACGCGTGGCCAGATCCTGCTGCGGGTCTGGACATGCCGCTCCAACTCCCGGTGCTTTGGTTTTTCCCCGCCTGTGAAATGGGAGTGAGGGGCCCCGGCAAAACCTCCTCGTGGTGTCGGGACGGCCGCTCGCCTGCCCGTGGTAGTGGGGAGCTGGGGGGGTGTCACGCGGTGCTGGGTGCCGTTTTGGGCTCCCCGTACAGGGTTTCGTGGTGAGCCCCTCGGAGGTGACAGGTCATGAAACCCCCGGTCTCGTCCCTGGGGGGTGGCAGCTCGTGGCCCTGCGGGGCTGGTGTTTGCACAGGGCTCCGCGTTGGCACAGCCGACGGGATCCTGCGGGCAAAAGGTCTGGAGAAACACGAGGGTCTGATTGCACAACGCACGTCCCATCTCAGCCGTGCAAATCCCGCCGGAGCGTGTCCCTTCACCTGGTCCTGCAATGCACCGACGTTCCCAACATCCCCCGTTAGGTGCCACGAGACAGCAGCAGCACCGAAACCCAGCGCGCCCACCACACACCCCATCACCTTCCAGCTGGGCACTGGGTGTCACGAGATGCGCTGGGACCCGGAGCTCATCCTCGGCCATCCTCTTAGCACCAGCGGCCCAGGAGGTGACTTCAGGGCTGCACTGTAAGGAATAACACCGGGAAACGCTCACTCGCAGGTGGCTCGTGAGATGCAAGCGATGGAGGAGGCTGGTTTATCCCTTTCCCCCTCGCTGCCCGGTGGGGATCGGTACGGACCCGCAGTGTGTGCTGGCAGAGCTGCCCCGGCTGCAGGGGGTGGCCGGGGATGGGATGGCAGAGCTGGAGCTAATTTTAGGAGGTGGGCAGAGCCTCGCGGGGAGCAGCTGGCTCAGGGGATGTGTTGTTGCTGCGGTGCCCATGAGCATCGAGAGCGAGCGCCGGGGCTCCCAAGGTCTGAAGATGCTGCTGTGGGTCGAGGAGGTGACCCCACATCAGCAGCCCGGCTTTCCACCCTGGGGAAGTGCCACCGCTGACGCCCTGGCTGCTGGAGGGGCGACAGCTCTGGGGACACACACAGCCCCGGACGCTGGACTCCTGGCTTGCATTACCCAGCACATCGCTGAGCCCCGCGACTGCTCCGTGCCTCAGTTTCCCCACAGCCGTCTCTCCGGCGCTCCCCCCCGGTGAGGTGCAGCGGAGGCAGGAGGGCTGGCCGGGCTCGGGGATCCTCGCCTGGGAGCGCCAAGCCTTATTATTTCCCCACGACTGTCTCCTCCTCGCTCCTCGTAAAATTAGATCCAGCTGTTCACAATAGCCACTAACTTCTCTCCGGAAGATGTTCAAAGTTTACAGACGCGGAGCGGCGCGGCGTGCGTGGAGGATGGGCTGCCGTTCCCATGCCAGCTCCTCGCCGCCCGCCCTTCCCCCAGAGGCAGCCAGCTCCTGCCTTCCCCCCCCCCCCCCCCCCCCGGCTTAGGCAATTCGGGTTTAGGAAAAAGCACACCCGCACGCAGGCACGCGAGCCCCCGACCCAAGCGAGCGTCGGGTTTTTTATGAGCAAAAAAAATCCGGGTGCTTCGCAGTCCAGGAGCAAAGGTCTGGTGCAGGACCCTGCTTTTTTCCTGCCTGGCTTCTTGCCTGCGTGCTCGGTGGGCGAGTTGGGCAGGGTGCTCGCTTGCCGCTTGCTCGGTGCTCACTGGCTTTGTCTGTGACAGGAGTTTGGGCTCTGGCTTTCGCGTGGGGTGGCCACTGTGCCCCGCTGGCAGCCTTGCCCAGGCAGCATCACGGAGCAAGGGGTTAGGATCCAGCTCCAATATTTGACCATCAGCGTGCCAGCCTAGCGCACTGTGCCAGGCTCTCCGGCACTCTTGGGCCATGCTTCTCACTGGAGCTCCTTCTTTTACCAAGAA